CGGACAACGGTAGCTATAATCATGTGACAGGGAGGTCATGGACAATGGTAGCTACAGTCATCTGACTGGGAGGTCATGGACAATAGTAGCTATAGTCATCTGACTGGGAGGTCATGGACAATGGTAGCTTTAGTCATGTGAGGGAGGTCATGGACAATGGTAGCTTTAGTCATGTGACTGGGAGGTCATGGACAATGGTAGCTTTAATCATGTGACAGGAGGTCATGGACAATGGTAGCTTTAGTCATGTGACTGGGAGGTCATGGACAATGGTAGCTTTAGTCATGTGACAGGGGAGGTCATGGACAATGGTAGCTTTAGTCATGTGACAGGGAGGTTACGGACAAAGGTAGCTTTAGTCATGTGACTGGGAGGTCATGGACAATGGTAGCTATAATCATGTGACAGGAGAGGTCCGCAGGACAATGGTAGCTTTAGTCATGTGACAGGAGGTCACGGACAATGGTAACTATAGTCATGTAACAGGGAGGTCATGGACAGCGGTAGGTTTAGTCATGTGAGCAGGAGGCCATGGACAGTGGTTGCTATAGAGTCACCTGACTGGGAGGTCATGGACAATGGTAGCTATAGTCATCTGACTGGGAGGTCATGGACAATGGTAGCTATAGTCATCTGACTGGGAGGTCATGGACAATAGTAGCTATAGTCATCTGACTGGGAGGTCATGGACAATGGTAGCTACAGTCTGTTGACAGGGAGGTCATGGACAATGGTAGCTATAGCCATGTGACAGGGAGGTCACGGACAATGGTAGCTATAGTCATGTGACAGGGAGGTCATGGACAACGGTAGGTTTAGTCATGTGAGCAGGAGGCCATGGACAGTGGTTGCTATCGTCATCTGACTGGGAGGTCATGGACAATGGTAGCTATAGTCATCTGACTGGGAGGTCATGGACAATGGTAGCTATAGTCATCTGACTGGGAGGTCATGGACAATGGTACCTTTAGTCATGTGACAGGGACGTTACGGACAATGGTAGCTTTAGTCATGTGACTGGGAGGTCATGGACAATGGTAGCTTTAGTCATCTGACTAGGAGGTCATTGACAATGGTAGCTTTAGTCATGTGACTGGGAGGTCATGGACAATGGTAGCTTTAGTCATCTGACTAGGAGGTCATTGACAATGGTAGCTTTAGTCATGTGACTGGGAGGTCATGGACAATGGTAGCTATAATCATGTGACAGGGAGGTCATGGACAATGGTAGCTATAATCATGTGACAGGGAGGTCACGGACAATGGTAGCTTTAGTCATGTGACAGGGAGGTCACAGACAATGGTAGCTTTAGTCATGTGACAGGGAGGTCATGGACAATGGTAGCTATAATTATGTGACTCGGAGGTCATGGACAATGGTAGCTTTAGTCATGTGAGTGGGAGGTCATGGACAATGGTAGCTGTAGTCATGTGACTGGGAGGTCATGGACAATGGTAGCTTTAGTCATGTGACTGGGAGGTCATGGACAATGGTACCTGTAGTCATGTGAGTGGGAGGTCATGGACAATGGTAGCTATAGTCATCTGACTGGGAGGTCATGGACAGTGGTTGCTATGGTCATCTGACTGGAAGGTCATGGACAATGGTAGCTATAGTCATCTGACTGGGAGGTCATGGACAATAGTAGCTATAGTCATCTGACTGGGAGGTCATGGACAATGGTTGCTATAGTCATCTGACTGGGAGGTCACGGACAATGGTAGCTATAATCATATGACAGGGAGGTCATGGACAATGGTAGCTACAGTCATCTGACTGGGAGGTCATGGACAATGGTAGCTATAGTCATCTGACTGGGAGGTCATGGACAATGGTAGCTTTAGTCATGTGATAGGGAGGTCATGGACAATGGTAGCTTTAGTCATGTGACTGGGAGGTCATGGACAATGGTAGCTTTAGTCATGTGACGGAGGTCATGGACAATGGTAGCTTTAGTCATGTGAGTGGGAGGTCATGGACAATGGTAGCTGTAGTCATGTGACTGGGAGGTCACGGACAATGGTAGCTTTAGTCATGTGACTGGGAGGTCATGGACAATGGTAGCTGTAGTCATGTGAGTGGGAGGTCATGGACAATGGTAGCTATAGTCATCTGACTGGGAGGTCATGGACAATGGTAACTTTAGTCATGTGACAGGGAGGTCATGGACAATGGTAGCTATAATTATGTGACTGGGAGGTCATGGACAATGGTAGCTTTAGTCATGTGAGTGGGAGGTCATGGACAATAGTAGCTGTAGTCATGTGACTGGGAGGTCCGCAGGACAATGAGTAGCTATAATCATGTGACAGGAGGTCATGGACAATGGTAGGTATAGTCATATGACTGGGGAGGTCATGGACAATGAAGTAACTTTACGAAATCATCTGACTGGGAGGTCATGGACAATAGTAGCTATAGTCATCTGACTGGGAGGTCATGGACAATAGTACTTTAGTCATGTGATAGAGGTCATGGACAATGGTAGCTTTAGTCATGTGACTGGGAGGTCATATGAACAATGGTAACTTTAGTCATGTGGCCGAGGAGGTCATGGACAATGGTAGCTTTTGAGTCATATGAGTGGGAGGTCATGGACAATATGGTGGCTATAGTCATGTGACTGGGAGGTGACGGACAATGGTAGCTACAGTCATCTGACTGGGAGGTCATGGACAATAGTAGCTATAGTCATCTGACTGGGAGGTCATGGACAATGGTAGCTTTAGTCATGTGACAGGGAGGTCATGGACAATGGTAGCTTTAGTCATGTGACAGGGAGGTCATGGACAATGGTAGCTTTAGTCATCTGACTAGGAGGTCATTGACAATGGTAGCTTTAGTCATGTGACTGGGAGGTCATGGACAATGGTAGCTTTAGTCATCTGACTAGAGGTCATTGACAATGGTAGCTTTAGTCATGTGACTGGGAGGTCATGGACAATGAGGTAGCTACTTCAGTGTGACAGGGAGGTCATAAGACAATGGTAGCTATAATCATGTGACAGGAGGTCACAGGACAATAGTTTACTTTCGTCATGTGACAGGGAGAGTCCACGGAACAATAGTAACTATAGTCATGTGACAGGAAGGTCATGGACAATGGTAGCTATAATTATAATGTGACTTCCGGAGTCATGAACAATGGTAGCTTTTAGTCGCTGTGAGAGTGGGAGGTCATGGACAATGGTACTCGCTGTCAGTCATGTGACTGGAGAGTCATGGACAATGGTAGCTTTAGTCATGTGACTGGGAGGTCATGGACAATGGTAGTAGCTGTGTGTCTGGCAGGTCATGGTGGGAGGTCATGGACAATGGTAGCTATAGTCATCTGACTGGGAGGTCATGGACAGTGATTTACTATGGTCATCTGACTGGAAGGTCATGGACAATGGTAGCTATAGTCATCTGACTGGGAGGTCATGGACAATAGTAGCTATAGTCATCGTCTGACTGGGGAGGTCATGGACAATGGTTGCTATAGTCATCTGACTGGGAGGTCCTGGGACAATGGTAGCTATAATCATATGACAGGGAGGTCATGGACAATGGTAGCTACAGTCATCTGACTGGGAGGTCATGGACAATGGTAGCTATAGTCATCTGACTGGGAGGTCATGGACAATGGTAGCTTTAGTCATGTGATAGGGAGGTCATGGACAATGGTAGCTTTAGTCATGTGACTGGGAGGTCATGGACAATGGTAGCTTTAGTCATGTGACGGAGGTCATGGACAATGGTAGCTTTAGTCATGTGAGTGGGAGGTCATGGACAATGGTAGCTGTAGTCATGTGACTGGGAGGTCATGGACAATGGTAGCTATAGTCATGTGACTGGGAGGTCATGGACAATGGTAGCTGTAGTCATGTGAGTGGGAGGTCATGGACAATGGTAGCTATAGTCATGTGACTGGGAGGCCATGGACAATGGTAGCTATAGTCATGTGACAGGGAGGCCATGGACAATGGTAGCTATAGTCATGTGACTGGGAGGTCATGGACAATGGTAGCTTTAGTCATGTGAGTGGGAGGTCATGGACAATGGTAGCTGTAGTCATGTGACTGGGAGGTCACGGACAATGGTAGCTATAGTCATGTGACAGGGAGGTCATGGACAATGGTAGGTATAGTCATCTGACTGGGAGGTCATGGACAATGGTAGCTATAGTCATGAGACAAGGAGGTCATGGACAATGGTAGCTATAGTCATGTGACTGGGAGGCCATGGACAATGGTAGCTATAGTCATGTGACCAGGAAGCCATGGACAATGGTAGCTATAGTCATGTGACTGGGAGGCCATGGACAATGGTAGCTATAGTCATGTGACTGGGAGGTCATGGACAATGGTAGCTATAGTCATGTGACTAGGAGGCCATGGACAATGGTTGCTATAGTCATGTGACCAGGAAGCCATGGACAATGGTAGCTATAGTCATGTGACTGGGAGGTCATGGACAATGGTAGCTATAGTCATGTGACAAGGAGGCCATGGACAATGGTAGCTATAGTCATGTGACAGGGAGGTCATGGACAATGGTAGCTATAGTCTGTTGACCAGGAGGCCATGGACAATGGTAGCTATAGTGATGTGACTGGGAGGCCATGGACAACATCACAACTACATCCAGTCTTTGTTAATATACATCTCAAACAATCATTAACAGGATGAAACCTGCATGACATCAGGATTTCCTCCCCTAACAGCATGTTAAGGTGTCATGCCTTGGTAAGTGGAACACTGTTTCAAATGTGTCCTTAACAGGGGTTAAACTATACTCACACTTTCTTAATTGATTGACAATCATATCATTAATTCGTATTGATACGTACATCATTAATTTGAAATTGCCACCAAACTTGATGTCAAGGTCAAGGGCGCTACTGCTAGACAGGCCTACATTGAAGAAAGCTGACTAAAGTATCAATGTCCAGGACGGGGGTCAGTTTGATGTGGCAGCAATACCCAGAGTGATTCAGATGTCATATGTTCCTACTTACGGGTGGTCAGAGTCAGGCTTCTGCATGGAGTGGTACAACCCAAATGCCAGGATAACCTGAAAAGGGAATTACTATTTTCTAGACATTGTGAAGCTGATTACCGAATTCACAAAATGACCAATTCAATAGTGATATATTTCAGCAGGTGTACAAATTTAGGCTAAGGCATTTTCAAGACCGACTAAGACAGACCTTTACCTATTACAGCTGCGTAAAATATGAGGAGATCACTTACAGCAATAGTCCCATTCCACAATTCATTCTCTCAAAAAGAGCGTCATACAGTACGGGGTTTAAGACTATTGTAGTGCTACTTTAGGATTAATTTCTGAAACAGGCTTTGTTTGACAGTACCAAGCAGGGACTATTGCCAGCAATATAGACCTACCTGGTTGACAGTGTCAGCCATTGAGTGAATGACTTCTGAGAACATACTGTGTGAGCCTGTGAAGATCCATGCTACAAATTTTATCAGGCTGTTCAAAGCATTACTGAAACCACAAAAACAGATGATGTTACAGCAACAAAAATCGACAGAACCTTCACCATGTTCATTACAGAGACCAATATCTGCATCCACATAATCTTTATCTAGAATTCTTTGCTTATCTCTACACACACATGAAATATTTTTCACTGACATTTCATATCACTGTCATGAGCCTCAAGGTTATAATATGGTTTCAGATCTCACTGTATTTGTTATTTTCCAAAATCATAATGTACATATGCTTGTCTGCAATCCCACAATACCTAAGTAGCCAGTACATTATGGAGCTGGGTCAGGTACACTTGTAGTGACATTGCAAGCAATATATTGTACCATCAGAGAAAGATGGCATGCACAAGTCTGACCACAATCCACTTAGCTTGCTTCTTACAACAAGCAAAGATTTCTTGGGACTTAACGACTTGCCTAAAAAGTGACATATTATCCTGAAACTTACACAAAAATTGCTGACATGACAACTCTTCCTGTACCACTCTCCAAAAATATTTCCCTCTGAAAATAAAAAATCGTAATCCTGTACACAATGGCTATATTGACATAAGCAGTATTGAATGTAATCTTCCAGATATATCAAGATGGTCTCCAAGCTGCCAACATCCACACAGTGATGGTATTAGTAATACGATTAAACTTAGGAGGGACTATGCTCACAGTCTTTGGTTCATTTTCAGAAAGGTTGGCACTGACATTATTGTGTGGAAAATACACATTGTCTCTGTGTAATTAACAGGTTTGTTGATATAAATACTTTGTGACAAAGAAAGTGGTTTGTGAACAACTTGGATGACATGTGCCAGAACCTACTGTCAATTTGTCTAAGTACAGTCTTCCCTTAAATTGATCATCACATATTTAATAGTGTTACTGACTCAAGCAGATATAATTTCTGTCCACAAAACAACTTCATGCTCACTTATTGTTAAAGGTAAATAAAAATCTTCTTTAAGTTAGGGATGTTAAAATAAGGGATGTTAAAAGGTTTAAAGTCTGGAAGAGGCTTGGCTGGTTTGGTTGGTTTGGTTGGTTTGTTGTTTAATGCCGCACTCAGCAATATTCCAGCTATATGTCGGCAGTCTGTAAATAATCGAGTCTGGACCAGACAATCAAGTGATCAACAGCATGAGCATCGATCTACACAACTGGGATACGATCACATGTGTCAACCAAGTTAGCGAACCTGACCACACAATCACGTTAGTCGCCTTTTACGACAAGCATGGGTTGCTGAAGATCAATTCTAACCCGGATCTTCACAGATTCTGGCAGAGGCAGTGCATCATCTTGCTGAACAGTATTTCTCCAGCATGTCAGAAACAGTGTCATACATTGTAGACATCTCTCAGTGAGGTGAAACCTCCAAACACTGACCTAGACAAACCAAGAATCATAACTGATAATCTGGGGTTTGAACCCATGACCAGCAGATCCCAGTTCAGCCAAGGGACACAACTCTGCACAATTACCACAGAAAGAAGTACATGGAGGGTACAAAGAGAAATATTATGAGTAAAAGGAAACTAACAACTGTGTAATTTTTGTCAGTGGGTGGACGATCTTCTGTCATGGCCGATACTCGTAGTTTGTGCTGGTCAATGAGGCCCCGAATCTCAAACACATCATCTAGGTATACAAGGGAGACAATTCTTAAATGTTATTTCTTCTGTTTGTTTGTTCATTGATTGATCCATGGTATTAATTAAAATATAGGTTAATCCTTTAAACATAACACCTTATCGTGCAATGTTTCACTAACATGTTGAAAATACTTTTTAAACATGTAATTATTCAACTATTTCAAATGTCCATAAACTTCCAAAAGAAATTCAAACTATTTATGTGATGCATTGTAAAACTACACTGCAGTAATATATAGGTTCTGAGTTTGTGCAAGTTAGCTATAAAGCTACACACAACTCGGTGTAGACTCACATCGGTTTCCGTCCATCAGCTTTTGTTTCTCCTTGTTGAGTTTTTCCAGGCTGCCCCACACTCTCGCGGCTCTGTTGAAGCCGACACAAACAGGGTATACCGTTACTAAGATCTTAAAGTACACACCAGCATTTGCTAAACAGTAGACTGACTGACTGAGTTTGGTTTTACGCCGCTTTTAGCAATATTCCAGCAACATCATGGCGGGGGACACCAGAAATGGGCTTCACACATTGTGCCCATGTGGGGACTCGAACCCGGGTCTTCGGCGTGACGAGCCAACGCTTTAACCATTAGGCTACCCCACCGCGCCGCTAAACAGTAGAAAGATCATAACTGCATGGTAATTTTACATGTGCATTTCAGCAATTCTCAACACTGACTAGTCAGTTGAAGAATCATGATGTATTCAGTAATATTCCAGCTATATGACAACGGTCTGTAAATAATCGAGTCCAGACCACACAATCTTGTGATTGATATCATGAGCATCGATCCAGAGAATTGTGTAAGATGACATGAATCAGTGGCTACCTGAATCCTGTTAGTTGCCTCTTAAGTAGCTTCGTTATTACAATAAAAACAGTGAATTTGTATTGCACTTTTTCCACACTTGGATATTATGCTCAAAGCACACAATATGGCAGGACATTAGCCATTGCTTGTGACGTTACAACAACTGAACAATAATCCTCAGCATGGTCGTTGACATTTCCTTGTACACAATGGAGGGAGGAAGTTCACCATTTTCATCCATGAAGTTTGAAAATTAGTGATTATTTATCCCAAGGTGTGGATTTTACACCATTCATTCATGCAGACAGATAACCTGTAATTCCATATAGACTGGAAGTCATTCTCTTAATACAGCTAGTCTAGGTGTACATCAACAGGTTGAAATTTTGTGTGGATCACCCTCGATAATAAATAATAAATATAAATTCATAATGCACCTTTTCCATGTACAAGGCACATGCTCAAAGCGCTAACACACGTACTGTAGGTGGATAAAATACATATGTACAATGAGTTAGTGAGTGAGTTTAGTTTGACGCCGCACTCAGCAATATTCCAGCTATATGGCAGCAGTCTGTAAATAACTGAGTCTGAACGAGACAATTCAGTGATCACCCGCACCTTCACAGGTCTATACAATGAGGGAATTGTGGCTAGTCTTAATACAATAAATACAGATGAGTCTTGTACAGGCTTTTGAAGGAATTAAAGTCAACTGCTGATTTAGGGCGAGAGTGAGTGAGTGTGGTTTCACGCCGCTTTTAGCAATATTCCAGCAATTTCACGGCGGGGACACCAGAAATGGGCTTCACATATTGTACCCATGTGGGGACTCGATCCCGGTCTTTGGTGTGACGAGGGAATGCTTTAACCACTAGGCTACCCCATCGCCCCTTGAAATTTTGTGAATTTGTTACTTAGATATGCTGTATGTTTATCGATCAACTGATACTACAGTGCTGGTAGACCAAGACAATGACAGTCAGGCCAAATCTGGAAATGCCACCCACAATCTGGGCAACTATTTGGTGATCACTGTCATTCTTTCCAGCAGGGGCATTGGGGTAGCTCCATGGTTAAAGCATTCGCTCATCATGACAAGGCCTGGATTTGATTCCCCACATGGGTATAATATGTGAAGCCAATTTCTATATTCCCCAACTGTGATATTGCTGGAATATTGCTAAAAGTGGCGGAAAATCCAACTCACTCACTCATTCCCAGCAAACAGGATTAGTATCATCTGGTGAATAAAATTACAAAACATTCCTCTATTGAACCAAGCAGTATGGATAAATGGAACATCAGGGGACTCCAATACTCACAAATCTTCAACGTCTGAGCGCAGATACACAACTATCTTTGGTCCTGTCTCATATGGACTCCGCCGTGAGTACTTTGGCAGCTCATCGAGATCGCTGGATAAGGAATGATAGTTACGTAGTTTCAAACATGACAACAACTTAGATGGCCTGGTAGTGTCATATGTAAGTTAGAATAGAGTCAAAGTCCATTACACCAGGCTGGTCCAATTACCAGCGCACACTTTTTACAGAACGCTTCATGGTTACCATGACAACAAGGAAAACAAAGACCATCTAATGTATCTATGTTTATGAATTTAATCATTTCTTTGCAGCCATATTCCATAAGTAGAACATTCGGTCTGTAAATAGTCTGGACCGGACAATTGAGTGACTGGCACCATGATGACAGGCATCTACCAAGTCAGCGATTCTCACCACCCCACTGCCTCTCAGTCTCACAACATGTACAGGTTAAAGAAGATCAATTCTAACCTGTCTCTTTACTCTTGGTGGAATTTCTTTACAAACTACACATACAATATGAACTTCTTTAGCCAACTCACCTTGGTTTGAGGAGGTATTCATTCATAGCCCTGACAGGTAGAATGTATATATTGCCTGTATAGCTGTAGTCTATTGACTTCTTTCTTGCTCGAGGGGTAACTACAAGCATACAGTTAGACAGTTGTCACTAGTTGTCCTGCTTCATACACTCATAAAGTGATCTGGGACAGCGTTAGAACCCTTTCTAACCATTTCCCACTAGATGACAGGACCAGTGAGTGGACAATAATTAGTGGTCCTGTCAGTACTTCACTGGTCCAAAATAACATTCGCAGATTTACTTAACTATCAAAAATATCATATTCATTTGAATTTTTAACATCTTTTAAATTTTTAAATATTCACCAGCCACCAGGACCACTGCAAACTTGTCATTTAGTGGTCCTGATGAATTTTTACTGGTCAGGGACCACAGGACCAGCATAAATTTCTGCACACTGCAGGGAGTTAAACATAGTAAACACCAAAATTTCAAATCCATTACAGTTTACACTGCTTCACTATACAAATGGTGTCCAGTTCACAACATGCACAAACATTCACCTTTTAAAACCTTCTGTGGTTGTGATGACTTTGTATCCACCGAGGTGTTGGAGGACGCATCTGGAGCCTTTGGACTAGAAAGTGGGCTTTGGGCTCTAGCAGCAGGGGCAGCCATCTTGGGCTGAGGAGATCCAGGTTCGGATTGTCCATCCTGGCTCCCTGTGCTCGAGCTCAGCTGGCGTTCAAGGTTGGCAAGAGTCTGGGACCAGGTACCCTGGATTTTCTTGATATATTTGCGTGTGGTGCTGAACTGTCGCTGACAATCTACATGTAAATTAACAAGGTATGACTATCTTGTGGTCATGTAGCCATTGACAGTGGATATTAGTTCTCTCACGTTGGTTTGCCAGTAGACACCAGGGACCCTATCCACAAAATGTTCACAGAAACAGGCTATTCATAAGCATATAACAAAGTTTAGAGTTGCTATGAACACTTTGTAGATTGGGAAGCAGTACTTAAGCAAAGCATGTTAAGAAGGTTTCTGTACCATAATATCCCTGATTGAAACTCAACTGATTATGTAACTTACATTTCTCATCCAAACATGACAGTGAGTTAAAATTTAACATCACTATTATTAAACAGAAAACTGTCTGAAAACTAACAAACAAAAAGCAAAGCATCCTTTCCCAGCAAACATTGTATTTGTAAACCAGCATGATCAAGCTGGATAACCCTGACAAACAACAAGTTTACTTCTTTCCAGATACTGTAATTTAGAACATGTTATGTGAAAATAATATGATCAGATTCAGTTGAAGGATGGGTAAAAAAAAGTCCTGATGACAAAGACCTAAACTGTAGATGTTATGGTGAGCTACTAAACAACTGAGGTAATGAAGCAAAGTATCCTTGATCAATATAGATAAATAAGATTAACTTCAAGATGGTTTACCCTGACAGATTAACACACCTTGTAAACCTGATAAATGAATAGCATGATCAGTTTTATTAGCGGTAATGGTTAAGATTAAGAAGATGTGACCCTATCCTCCTCACCTCTACACAAGTGGTGAGAAACCTTTCTCTGCTGAAGTCCCACTCCAACTCGAAGCTGAGATCTCAGAGCCTGCTGCAACAACAACTGTGCCTCATGACACAGTGGTCGCAACATCGTCATGCTGTTATGAGTTGGAACCTGTGTTACAATTGAACATGTTGAAACAATTGGTAAGAGAAATCTTATCTGTATGATAAGTTTTTTAAGCAATGTATTAATGATTTTCATGCCATGCATATTTTAAGCTGGGAAATACGAATCACAGCCGACATATTGCTTATCATCAACGCGAAAGTAACGGGATATACTGACAGTGACAAAATCGGATTATGATTATCATGATTATGTCTGTCATTTCTGGGATATTTATGAACGAGTAATGAAAAGATCGAACACAGTCTTTAATTCATTCAGTAGCTGATACACATTTATTTATCGTGTAAGAAGTATTTAATCACTTGCAATAGTCCGACCGGCTCACTGATCCACTACTGCTAATAGGCTAATACTTGTCAGGTGATGTCTGTTCTGGCAGTTGACATTCCTTCTGTCGATGTCACCTTGACAGACACGGAGTCAACAATATTATCTATTACATATTCAACAAGCGGTCATATTTATACAGCACCATTGATCACTTTAAACATTATCTTGCCGTTACCTTTGCAACACGCAAACTAATTCTTCACATCATGTAATCCCTGCACGTTAGGGAACCATCTTTGTTTATAAATATATTTGTGGTCTCGCGTGATTGGAGGAGACTTTACAACTTCCTGTTCCGGTTGAATGTCAAAACAAGAACACGTGTGTTTCAGAATTGTTGTGGTCACTGGTTGAGATAGGGACAGTTCCGTGTATTTATTCCATTCCCTCCACTCTTTATTAGTATTTAATTATTTTTTTGAGATCTGACAATATACAACAGCTTAACATTGGATGAATAACCTCCGGGTATCAAACTAGTCTGTACTGTAATTACACAATGCCATTTAGAAAGTGGTCAAATGCAACATATGTTATATTTTGGATTACACTTTCTTAGTAAAGTACAAATTCTAGTACTTTTTGAGTTGAACCCCATCTGGGATTCGAACTCGCAGCCTCAGAGTCACAATTAGAAGTCGCGATAGCTGAGCGGGTTAGGCGGCTGACTTTGTGTGCTGGTGAATTAGGTGTCTGACTCTGAGGGTGTGAGTTCGAATCCCGGATGGGGCTCAACTCAAAAAGTAATAGAATTTGTACTTTACTAAGAAAGTGTAATCCCAAATATAACATATGTTGCATTAGTCTGTACTGTAGTGTTTATGACAGTTTTTCTTCACAGACTCAGTCAAGAGATGATCAAATCAACATGTTTGTGTTCGAAATTACACATGTCTCATTTGACATTGAAGCGTTTGAAACACACATTAAACATCAAACATGTCGATGGCTTCGCAAAGATGATTCATCAGGTGACTATAGCTTGTCTGAGTAAGATGTGATAGCTTTGAAACAATTCCAAGGACTGTTAGGTCATAACTTTCACATGTATATTTAATGTACCTTTATGTAAGGTGAAATAAGTACACAAAGTAATGTTTGATGATACCTAACTGTTTATGTTGTTTATGACTCCTATCGACCCATGCCACAAAAGGCGACTATGCTTGTCGTAAGAGGCAACTAACAGGATCAGGTGGTCAGGCTCGCTGACTTGGTTGACACATGCCATCAGTTCCAAATTACGCAGATCGATGCTCATGCTGTTGATCACTGGATTGTCTGGTCCAGACTTGATTATTTACAGCCCGCTGCCATATAGCTGGAATATTGCTGAGTGCGGCGTAAAACTAAACTCACTCACTCACTTATGACTCCTATCCTCTGTCAAGAAATCTTTACCCCTTTTCATGCAGAATACAGACTTCTAGTATAGGACAGTGAATTTGTGATTTGTGATATTATTATTTGTGATTTTTTGATAAATATTTTCGATGTTTATAGGTTAAAAGGGCAGAAACTAAAGGTTTGCCTATCATTCATCATCATGGTTATGTCAGTGACCTGCCAATCAAGCACCGATTTGCTATGAGAAAGTTTCATGGGGTGATGCGTTTTTTGAGAAAAGACAATGTAATTTCTTCCAAACAAATACTCCAGCCTGAGCTTGTGCAACCAGAGGACTTGTTACCAGTGCATACAGAAGACTACATAAACAGATTCTTCTGGGGGCAGACAACTGACAAGGAACAGCGACTCACTGGATTCAAATGGTCAGAGGGACTCGTTAGTCGGTGCAGGTATGAAACAGGTGAGATTCCGGATGAGCAAGGGAAACTGTATGTCTGACATGTGCACGAAATTTTTATCGATAACATTTGAACATTTTCTGTTTTTATAACCATGGCAACATTCCTCTGAACAAGAGGATGAGTCCTAAAGGGGCAAGATGTATCCCTGAAATGTTACAAAGAAAGAAAGAATTATTGATATACATTTCTTATGTTAGTGTCATTACAATCTCTAAATCCTAATCAATATTATTGTCATTTATTAACAATCTCTAAATGCTACTCGAAGGATGAATTATGAATGTTGTGCCAGGTGTATTTGTTGCAACATAGAAATGTGGGGTTAAAAAAATTTCAGTAACCATTGTAAATTCTCAAGTAAAATTGACATTTCTTCCCTCCCTTCTAAGCGGGCACAATACTAGCAGCAGTTACAGCCATGGAGCGGGGCCTGGCATGTAGCACAGGGGGAGGCACCCACCACGCCTTCCCCTCCCATGGCTCAGGGTACTGTCTTCTGAATGACCTGGCTGTCACTGCAAGCTACATGCTGGAACATGGCTTTGTGGAGAGAGTTCTCATTGTAGACCTTGACGTACACCAGGTACACATTATGTAGACAATTTGACATTTCCAATTGATTTGATGATCAGCATACACAGTCACATCCATTTGGTGACCTTGCAAAGTAGCAACACCATCTATACCAGTGTATGAAATAAGGCCCGTCCGACCGCCCGAGATGGGTTAGATTTCAGACGGACAGTCTAGATTTACAGCTAGCCAGCCCGATGGTCTGGTAAAAAATTGAGATGTTATATACATCTGAGTCGTTTCTTGGTGTCAGGTCTGGTTAAATCCATTTTGGGCTGGTAACATTTTGAAGTTACCAGCCCTGATGTCTGGCTGGGGTTTTGGCTTATTTCATACACTGTCTATACTCTACACTACATAAGTAGAGTGGTGGTTTCCATGCTGATCTTCGTAAGCGTGCATGCACTCATACATGCACATGTTGGTGACAGCTACTAATATTTATGCAGTGTTCACTGCAATCCTCAGTTAACCAATGTTTTGTATCTCTTTGCTGTTATAATTAACTTATTCACCACCATAGTGTTATTTCAGAAGTAATGTCTTCCAACCAATCAAGATAGCCCTACTTATGTCTTGAAACCCACTATGACTGACTATGCTTCCCTTACAAGCAAAGTAGTTACAAGGAGATAAAAATGTTCCATGTTTTGAAATTTGTAAATAAATGAAGTAAGGAGTAATATAACTCTGTCAATATTTGTCAAGAGACATTTTTGTGTTCCCAGGGTGATGGCACAGCGTACATCTTCAAAGATGACAAGCGTGTGTTCACATTCTCAATGCATTGCCAGAATAACTTTCCCCACAAGAAGCAGCAAAGTGATGTCGACGTTGGACTTGATGTCGGCTGTACGGTATGTGGTAATGTAAGATTAATCAATGATCATGATGATAAGGTTTACAGTGTTATTACTATATCATTTTACTAGGCTACTTGGCCCACATATACAGCAGTGTTTTTCTTGATGGGAATGTTTAACCAAATGAACATCATGTAATGCCCATTCATTGGTAATTTGACCCGTGAAAATGCAGGGTAGAATTGATCCTCAGTAACCCTTGCTTGTCTTAAGAGGAGACTAACAGGATCAGGTGGTCTGGTCCAGACTCGATTAGTTACAGACCACCGCCATGTAGCTGGAATTTTGCTGAGTGCAGTGTAAAACCCCTAGTGTACAGTACACAACCCTGTGCACTTAAAAGAACCCACGAATCCGTTGGTATATGACCAGATGGTGGCCACATGAATACATGCAAACACCTAGTTGCGGGTACAGCAACGTGCAGTAAACTTGGACAAAGTACTGTGACCATGTGTCCCAGTCCACCCAGCTGTGAACGGGTACCTCGAAAGGATGAGAAAGTTGCATTAACTCGGTGTGCCTAGTGGCAGCAAGAGTTGAATGATCCCCAGAGAGTTGAGATTGATAACATGGTGTGCCGCTGAATTGACATCCAATTGATCGAGGGAAATACAAATAAACGCTTTGAGCATGCATGTGGGATGGACTATAGCGCTATATAAATATCCATATAATAATAATAATAAAACTAAACTCACTCACTCTCATTGGTCATTTTGCCGAATTAGCAGGATTCCTTTTAACTTGAGGTTTCACTCTGTGTAATCAGGACAAAGAATATATGTCAACACTTGACAGTCACCTGGGCTGGATTGTCAACAGTTTCCAACCCGACCTTGTCCTCTATGATGCTGGTGTTGATCCCCATGAGAAAGATGAACTTGGCAAACTCAAGATGACAGATCAAGGTAACCAAACGTCCTCAATATGTCACCCTCAGAGTGGATCAAGTAAATATATCTGTGTTCATAAAATAAGTAAAAACATAAAAACGTTCACTTAAAGGTCACATGCAACGTAAAACACAACTTTGCAGATTCTGATTACCTTTCGGTATGGACTTACCGAAACAAATCGTCAAAATGCAAATTCAACTCATAAAGTTGAAAAATAGCGATGAAAAAAAAGCGAAATCGGAGTTCAAGCGTTTCACTAATTTTCCCCAGACTTTTCTGTGGAAAGCGGTTTTCAACAGCTGGAGCTGCGCTCACAGCAACGTAGCAAGTAAATAGGTTCAGCACAGCTTGGAAGCAGGTTGTCCCATGAATGCTTTCGTGAAGAAGGCTTTGGTGTGAGCTATGTTTCTAATGTTTTGTTGATATCTCACAGGCCGCGAGCTTTTATATGTTATGACAGTAAATTAACTGTTTATATAATTTCATTTGTCTATTTCACCACACATTCTTCTTACCGAGACACTTTCTCAGTTCGATGCTTAAAAGCAATGTCATTATTTAAGCGTTGACAGAATTTCTAACTGTGATATAGATATGTCGTTGTCACAGACAAAACTCAATGTCTTGTTTTATTGACACCTGTGTGTCTGCCTGCCTGTCTGCTAATGACAATATTCAATACACAACTGCTATCACTGACCACATGCAATTTGAGCTTAACACCAATCAGGCTATACACCATAAACAAAATGCATTGATTTATGGCCCGAGTTCGGGTCTCTGTCACATTATGTAATTACACAGACAGGCAGGTGTGATACTTGAACACATGACTCTTATGATGTCTGTTGATTGCAAAAATGTTATACACAAAAAATGAGCATGTATTTACAAAACCCAACATCTCTATATATATATACACACAATTAGCCGTGCATCTGTAAATGAACCAGCCGTTACACTTGAGTGCACAGCCACCAGCTCTGACTGGGTTCGGTATCCCATGCTGCCGTTTCTTGGGAAGTAAACCGGAAGTACACAATTTTGCACTTTCGATTTACGATTATGCGCTTATAATTTTGTTTATATATTTTTTCATAACCAGCAATGTATATTATATGTCATGAATAAGAAGTGATAATTGTGTTTTTAATTATGTTTGATTTTTGCCACATGTGACCTTTAAAGGTGCAAGGTAACAAAATCACAAGCATCACTTGTTGGCTCTGTAGTGTGACTCTATCCCTGAAGAAGTTTGTATTCTGTTAAGACAGAGACCATTATGTGCTGCATCACCTAAGCCTCCCACGGTATCCCATGTGCCACTGTGATAGGGGAGGCTACTCTGTTTGTAGCCTAGTTGACATGTCTCTCTATAGGTTTGTAACGACAGAGACCATTATGTGCTGCACTACCTCCTCCTCTCCAGCGTATCCCATGTGCCACTGTGATAGGGGGAGGCTACTCTGTTTGTAGCCTAGTTGACATGTCTCTCTATAGGTTTGTACGACAGAGACCATTATGTGCTGCACTACCTCGCCTCCCGCGGTATCCCATGTGCCACTGTGATAGGGGGAGACTACTCTGTTTGTAGCCTAGTTGACATGTCTCTCTATAGGTTTGTACGACAGAGACCATTATGTGCTGCACTACCTCGCCTCCCGCGGTATCCCATGTGCCACTGTGATAGGGGGAGGCTACTCTAATGACCTTGATGAACTCTCTCTCCGACACACCATCGTACATCGAGCTGCAACTCAGGTCAGTAACAGTACAGAGTAATGTGTTGCCGTGAGTTAGTGAGGAAGGGTGGTAGGGAACATCCTTTGACAAGTTTCATGATGAGAGAGTATGTGTTTCAGGAACACAAAATTTATCAAAATACTACCTGAGAAAGCTGAAGTAACCAAGAATGAGCTTCACAGTTTGCATCCATTTCAGGAATCAAACCATACGACTGACCAATTCTTAACCACTTGACTACCCATATGTGGGCAACATGTAATTATACATCGGGTGGATCCCAACATTTTCAGTTGACATATGCGTTCAGTTAACATTAATATGTTTCAGAACTTTCATCAAGAACTGATTAAGAATTTCATAGAGTTTCTGACTTCCTGGACTTGTAGTCTTGTATGTAATTAGTAATCCCCTACCATCTTCCATTTCAGGTATGGCATCAGAGCATTGCAAGTTGCTTTTGATGTGACCAAACTGTAAAAAATGACCAGGTTCGAGGGGTTGACAGAGCAGATTGTACCTTCTGTGTATAGAATGTTTTAATAGGATAATAATAAATGCAGAGATTTTGGAATGTAAATCAAGGTTTTTTGTTGTGTAAATATATATTACTAGCTGAACTGGGCAGAGATATGTTTGCTATTTATACACTGTTCGTGTGAGTGAGTTGAGATGATAGCAATGTTCACCTAGGTCAACAGACGTGCCTCCCAGGTTTATGTGAGAATATCTCTTCTGATAATGGTGTTCTGTGGGATGTATGATATGTATAGTCCTCCCCAATTCTCTAGAGTTGTCTCATGTCTCCTATTTGGCATGTTTGACAGAGAGTCTTTGTTCCAAGCAATCAAAGTTATAGCTGTCACATGTTGTTAGGATAAGTGAGTGAGTGAGTTTAGGTTTACACCGCACTCAGCAATATTGTTAGGATAAGAGTGAGTGAGTGAGTTAATATTTAACGTCACATCGGCAATATTTCAGCCATATCGTGACTGTTCGGATAAGAGCTCAAACAGACACCAAAAAATGAACATAAGTACCCATCTCTCAAAACTGGACTAGGGTACCCGATTTCAACTGTAATATACCACACAAGTGAATTTTGGATCCACACATCGTACCAAGTCTGCATGCTCCTGTTACAAAAGTGAACTTGTGAGTTGTCTCCCCTGGTCAGGAGTCCGATTCCTTCAGTGGGATTGACATCAAAACCTGACCCGTACTCAAGAATGCATGAGAGCCCTGTTTGAGCTGGCCATGTACAGTGTTTTGATAGATACTCCATGCAGGGGAAACAGTCACGAGATTTTCCAGTCTCAACAAACAAAGCAACAAAAAGTGCAGAGTTAGGAGCAGTGATTTATTAGCAAAATATAATTATTGCAGAATGTCACACGAGAAATATGCAGTCAGTTAACAAATGGTAGTTACAGAGAAGCTCTGTAAACTGCAGTAATCCGACCCAAATACCACCAGCCCTGTTGTCAGTCAGTCATAAACTAGTCTGCTGGGGGGTGGACCTAACCTTTTGTGGTTTATGTAGACAAATGGGAAAACTGTTTTAGAAAATACTATTTCAACTTCTGAAAGCGCATTTCAGTTGCATCTGGAATAAACCATTTAATATGCACATTGACTGTGACTTGTCCTGTAATCTACATGCAGATACTGCAGTCACTGGCTGCATTCAGCTGCGTTTTGGGTAGCTTTTTCATCAGCTTTATATTACACTTTTCAGTGTTTTAACTTATGATCCATATTTAATTGTGTAAAAGCATTCAATTAGGAACATGTTTGTCATGTGTTAATCGCATTGTCAACACACACCAACTATTTGAAGCTTTTGGGCTAGTGTACATGCTTGACACACTACGTGACTCTTCAGTAATGCCTCATTGAATCCATGTTTGCTTGGTGGAGGAGGGCAATGGACTCTGGTTACATCCACCCGGGATCTTACGATCCAGGAAGAGAGGTGGATGAAGAGTCAGCTTATCCATAGCGACGCAGCGCTAATGTCACCGTTCCAAGTAGACCTGTGCCGACTAAGACGAAGAGACAGATGATGCTGCCGATGAACCCAGGAAGTCTGTAACCATTGAGATAGTCATTGCCATAGTTTTATAATCTTTGACACAATACTGAAAGGGAGAACATGAATAATCTATTCCATCAGTGAAAACATAGGAAGCACATGTGCGTCTGGTTAATTTGTCATGCATGTCATATTTGGTCTTCTTCATCTTGATATTCCAGGTATTAAAGAGTCATTTGTTGTTCACGTTTAGTTTTCAACACTGAAATGCACGTCTCTTGTTAGAAAGTTTACTGCAGCACAAGAATCAGCATGGCATGAAGGGGCTACTACTGTCAGTAATTCAGTATCTAAAGGATAAAGTCGCATAGTAGTCATGGGCGGATCAAGGAATTTTGAAAAAAGGGTTGTTCAGGGTGCGAACCCCTGAACCCTCCATTGGCTCCGCCAACGCAAAAAATCTTCAATGTGGTCTTAAGTCACTTTCAAAGTGTGTGTGTGTGTGTGTGTGTGTTGTGTGTGTGTGTGTGTGTGTGTGTGTGTGTGTGTGTGTGTGTGTGTGTGTGTGTTGTGTGTCTGTGAACCCCACTCTGGTTGTGTAGGTGTAAAACAGCAGTGTAGGTGAAAAAGTAGGGGTGGCAGAAAAAGAGTTCATTGGTGTAAAACAGGGTGAGGGTGTTAAATAGGGTGGAGATGTAAACCATGGAATGAATTGGTACCAGTACTGTTCATATTGTTTTAAACGTGCCTAGCAGACATTTTCAAGAAAATTGTTTTAGTGTAGATGTGACTTATTTGTCATTGTAATGAAGACATGCTACTGTTTTGTTGTGTTGATGGTCTTGTGCTTTCTGTGACAGGTGTTGAGGAAGACATCTAGTGAGTAGTTTTAAGAAATAAATGTACCTTGTCATATTTAGAAATAAATACTGTTCAATATTATGCCTGAAGGGGTAATGGTGGTTATGTGTAATATGAAAATCAACTTGCTCACCCACTCTCATACTGCACCTACCTTTCCTTTGGACTTCGTTTGTAGCCGTTGAAGTAATTCTCTCTGAAGAACATGTACACCACTCCTACCAATGACGCCAGTCCTGGAAAATCAAGCACATTGGTGGTTATATCCACTCAAACCGGGCCCTTTCCAGTATCACTGACCTACCAGTCTCCCACCTGTCTTGTCTACCAATCCCCACATCACTGACCTACCTGTCTCCCACCTGTCTTGTCTACCAATTCCCACATCACTGACCTACCTGTCTCCTACCTGTCATGTCTACCAATCCCACATCACTGACCTACCTGTCTCTCCACCTGTCTTGTCTACCAATCCCCACATCACTGACCTACCTGTCTCCCACCTGTCTTGTCTACCAATCCCTACATCATCTCCCACTCACTGTCTGTCTACCTCTACCAATCCCCACATCACTGACCTACCTGTCCTGTCTTGTCTACCAATCCCTCCACCACTGACCTACCTGTCTCCCACCTGTCTTGTCTACCAATCCCCTGACATCACTGACCTCCTACCTGTCTCCTACCTGTCATGTCTACCAATCCCCACATCACTGACCTACCTGTCTCCCTACCTGTCTTGTCTTGTCACCAATCCCTACATCACTGATCTACCTGTCTCCTACCTGTCTTGTCTACCAATCCCTACATCACTGACCTACCTGTCTCCCAATACCTGTCTCCTACCTGTCCTGTCTACCAATCTTGTCTATCATCACATCACTGACCTACCTGTCTCCCACCTGTCTTGTCTACCAATCCCCACATCACTGACCTCCCCACATCACCTGTCTCCTGTCTCCTACCTGTCTTGTCTACCAATCCCCACATCACTGACCTACCTGTCTCCCACCTGTCTTGTCTACCAATCCCCACATCACTGACCTACCTGTCTCCCTACCTGTCTTGTCTACCAATCCCCACATCACTGACCTACCTGTCTCCTACCTGTCTTGTCTACCAATCCCCACATCACTGACCTACCTGTCTCCCACCTGTCTTGTCTACCAATCCCTACATCACTGACCTACCTGTCTCCCACCTGTCTTGTCTACCAATCCCCACATCACTGACCTACCTGTCTCCTACCTGTCTTGTCTACCAATCCCCACATCACTGACCTTGTCCTGTCACTCCCTACCTGTCTTGTCTTGTCTACCAATCCCACATCACTGACCTACCTGTCTTGTCCCAATCCCCACCTGTCTTGTCTACCAATCCTTGTCTACCAATCCCACATCACTGACCTACCTGTCTCCCACCTGTCTTGTCTACCAATCCCCACATCACTGACCTACCTGTCTCCTACCTGTCTTGTCTACCAATCCCCACATCACTGACCTACCTGTCTCCCACCTGTCTTGTCTACCAATCCCTACATCACTGACCTACCTGTCTCCCACCTGTCTTGTCTACCAATCCCCACATCACTGACCTACCTGTCTCCCACCTGTCTTGTCTGTCAATCCATGGGGCTGACCTATGGTACCTGTCTCTTGTCTAGGGGCTGTCTTGTAGTTCAGTGGTAAAACCACTGACTGACCACAATGTTCTTGAAGACCCAGGTTTGATTTCCCACACGGGTAGTCAATCACAATGTGTGAAGCCTCTGCCACTGCTGGAATATTGCTAAAAGCGGCATAAAGCTAAACTCACTCACTCGCTCACTGTCTTGTCTGGCATATCACCAACCTACCTGTCTCTCACATGTCATATGAGCACCTGCCCCACCAATCTATGTTCCTGCCTTATGGTCTTACCTGGATGAAAGAAGATGGCAGAAACCCACAGAACACTCAAGAAGATTGGAAAAAACTCAGAACAGTTTTGGCTGAAAGTAAAAAACAAATATTTAAATTTCAATCAGTTTGATTCCCAAAAGAAACAAATATCAGTATCTAAATTGAAGTAATTAGAATCAGTGTTAATTAAATCATTGGACAGCTTGACACTTTATCATGTTCATGCTTATGACATGCATGACTTTTCCAACTCCAATAATAATTGTCATGGCTGGAGTTGCATCCAATTACCTGGATCAGCAATTTAGACACTTACTGTGCTCGGAAGGTCCTTTCAAAGACAGGATCCCCTGTCGTGTTTGGGAGGCTAATCTTCAGTTTGATTCGTTGTAGACCCACTCGGCGAGCTATGGTGCCTGCAAGGAAATCCACAGCAGCTTCATCAACGTAGAATCCTTGTTTTAATTGTAGAATTTGTATTTAGTTTCTCAAATGACTCTGCCAAATTATGAGTCAATACTATGGACAGTGTGTCACACTGTCAGACTACAATGACAACTATCAAATAAGATAGTATTGTACAAGCTTTAAGTTTCTGTTACATTTTCTGGAAACATGAGGCATATCTAATTAACATGACACATGCTCACACAACCTTGAAGATCCAGGTTGGAATTGGCCTTCAGCAACCCATGCTTGTTGTAAGAGGGGTAACCTCCCAAAACTTAGACAGCTTAAAACAACAACATTTCTGGTTCAGTGCACAACTAATCCTCAAGCTGATACCTATTTGTTATAATGGATCAGTCCGGTAGAATCAATTAGACAAGACTTTATGTTCATTCAGCATATTTATTATAAGTTAAACAGAGATAAAAAATAAATACTAAATAATAAATATGGTATGTTGATCATGTCCATTCTTGGCATATTAAGTAGCATCCCACCTAAAAATCATGCAGAGGTTGATAAGTCCAAAATTTCATATCCACTTGAAATTTTGTCATTCTCTTTATTTGGCCTTGTAAAATGTCATGTCACTCAGAAATGTTTCTGTTCTCAATATTTTTCATTAAGTAGCCGTTAATTAAAGTTCAATGAAATTGACCCAGAATTGCATGTGAAAATGTACGAAAATACTATTTTTCAGTTGACAATATTGTTAAAACCATTTATGCTGTCAGGATTATTTTACTTTGTATTGCAAGAATACATATAACTTTCACTTCAGTTATATTTTTGAAGAGTTGATGAGTACACCTCCATAGCAACGGTTGTCAAGGTAACGGGTATTTGAACCCGTTAGTTGGTTGTTTGTTTGGTAAGTTGCTTAGTAAGTTTAGTTACTAAGTTAAATAAATAATTGAACAAATAAATAAATATATAAATCTAAAACTATAATATACACAAACCCTACTCAGACAAACAGCACTCGGCCATATATTGACTATAAAACATTCTCATTACGTATTTCAATCTGAAGATCACATACATGCATACATCATAATCACATATCATATATTCAGAACATATTCACAAGGCAGGTACACACATGTACAGAGCAAAGGCAAGGAAGGATTTAAAATACACACTAGAGTGAGGATACCATGGAATACAGATATTTACAAAATAGGACAATCATACATCTCCATGACATTTCACCTCCAGAAAAGAGAGACAGCATTTCATCTTCTGGCAGTAATTCTATTTGTAGAGATACATTGACATGAAAAAGATCTAAAAGTTTGGAAAAGAACTGATTCCTGTTGTACATATAATGTTCACAATGTAGAATTATATAGCAGTTATAGTCATTACATTTTGAAAATTTTGCTTGGAGAATAAATGATTTGTACACAAAATCATCAGGTGAGAGTCCAGGTGATGAAGGAGTAAGCATACACTCCGAAACGTTGTGTTATTCACAATAATGAAGTTGACCTCCATAAATCTTGCTTATCAAATGCATTCCACTTCTAAATGTCCTTCATACATTTACACATACTTTACAGTTTCAATTGTTTTATTTATTTACAAGCTAGGTCTACTCAGCAGGGAACACTAATTAGGACTGTTCCATTTCAGCCATGGGTGTTGTCTTAATTAATCCCCTTCATTAGTGTCTAAGTTACGGCTGTCTAAGATATGGCGGTCTAAGTTTTGGGAGATAACCCGTAAGAGGCAACTAACGGGATTGGGTAGTCAGACTCACTGGTTGACACATGTCATCGTATCAGTGCTAATGCTGTTGATCACTGTATATAACTGCTTTATTCTATTATGATAAGAATTGGTATTAATCTTTATACTGTTGTGGGGCGGTGGGGTAGCCTAGTGGTTAAAGCGTTGGCTCGTCACGCCGAAGACCCGTGTTCGAATCCCCACATGGGTACAATGTGTGAAGCCCATTTCTGGTGTCCCCCCGCCGTGATGTTGCTGGAATATTGCTAAAAGCGGCGTAATACCAAACTCAGTCAGTCAGTTATACTGTTGTCATTTCCATAATTACCATGAACAGATTAAAATTGTAAATCAAAAATAGAATTAATTTGAACCAAAGCATAAGCTTATGTCAAGTACAACAATACAAGATATACCCATCAAATGTTTAGACTCACTAGCATAAATGAAGCCACTTACTTCAGTCAACTGTTCTAAACTAGATTTTGCAAAATATTTCACACTGTTTAAAGGTACTGTTTACACATGAACTTAAAAACAAATTCGTTACCTTGAATGGATTATTGTCACGAGTTCAATAAATGATAAAACTCTGTGAAAATTGACTAATTCTGTACAAAACTCTACACCAAAACGCAGCTGTTCACATGCACGATATTTGCACATGCTTTTCAGCAATTTGATGCATGATCCTCATGCAAATCATCTGCAAAAAGTTTGCATTTGGTTCCCCCCCCAAGTTGGTGGTGAAATTCATCATTGATGTTACCATATATATCAACATAACATATAGTGAGTGCTTTAAGTGAGTCTAAACTTTTGATGGGTAGTATATTTTACTATTGTCTGCGTCTTAAGATGTTTGTATGGTCAATAAACACATCTCTTAACCATATCCCATGCTTAATTAGGTGATAAGTTGGAAGGCATTAAGCTTCCCAAGTTTTGATAGAATTGAGCCATGCCTCCCGGTTTCTATGTAAACAAACCTGCCACTGGCCTATATCTCTTACAATTCCCTATACATGAGCTGCATGCACCTACTCAGATGCAGGGCTGCAAGGACAGTGATGAGAGCAGGGAAGACCATGTCCTCCAGGAGAAGCGGGGTACCCACTGAGTCCCCGGCCATCTTTCTGTCACCTGAACTTTGTACCCTGGGTGGCAAGCCTTGAATGATATGTAGGTCGGGTGACCTCAAGTCTTTCTGGTTAATATGTGGGTCGGTTGGGACATTACTAGTGCATAACAACACACCAGGCGTGAGTGATGTCTTGACAATACTGTGTTCAAAGTGGACCATGTTTACAGGTTGAAGTCAGTGAGGGAGGGAATTCTTCATGCTGCAGTCAGTAATATTTCTACAACCGGGTGTGTCCCAGTAATGTCCTGGTACACCAGTTGTTGATCAACATGATGACTCTACTGGTTCTAGCAGGTACAGGGTATCCCAGGCCACAGTATCAACCTCCACATCTCAATATTTGTCCCTGACCTCAACATGACAATACTGTACACATTCCTGACCTTGACATGACAATACTGTACACATTCCTGACCTTGACATGACAATACTGTACACATTCCTGACCTTGACATGACAATACTGTACACATTCCTGACCTTGACATGACAATACTGTACACATTCCTGACCTTGACATGACAATACTGTACACATTCCTGACCCCAACATGACAATACTGTACACATTCCTGACCTCAACATGACAATACTGTACACATTCCTGACCTCAACATGACAATACTGTACACATTCCTGTCCCCAACATTATAATACTGTACACATTCCTGACCTCGACATGACAATACTGTACACATTCCTGACCCCAACATGACAATACTGTACACATTCCTGACCCCAACATGACAATACTGTACACATTCCTGACCTCAACATGACAATACTGTACACATTCCTGACCTTGACATGACAATACTGTACACATTCCTGACCTTGACATGACAATACTGTACACATTCCTGACCTCGACATGACAATACTGTACACATTCCTGACCCCAACATGACAATACTGTACACATTCCTGACCTTGACATGACAATACTGTACACATTCCTGACCCCAACATGACAATACTGTACACATTCCTGACCTCCCTGAACATGACAATACTGTACACATTCCTGACCTTGACATGACAATACTGTACATTCTGACCTCAACATGACAATACTGTACACATTCCTGACCTTGACATGACAATACTGTACACATTCCTGACCTTGACATGACAATACTGTACACATTCCTGACCTTGACATGACAATACTGTACACATTCCTGACCTTGAACATGACAATACTGTACACATTCCTGACCTTGACATGACAATACTGTACACATTCCTGACCTTGACATGACAATACTGTACACATTCCTGACCCTAACATGACAATACTGTACACATTACTGACCCCAACATGACAATACTGTACACATTCCTGACCTCAACATGATAATACTGTACACATTCTGACCTTGACATGACAATACTGTACACATTCTGACCTTGACATGACAATACTGTACACATCCCTCACCTCCAATATGACAATACTGTACACATTCCCTGACCTTGACATGACAATACTGTACACATTCCTGACCTTGACATGACAATACTGTACACATTCCTGACCTTGACATGACAATACTGTACACATTCCTGACCTCATGACAATACTGTACACATTCCTGACCTTGACATGACAATACTGTACACATTCCTGACCCCCACATGACAATACTGTACACATTTTTACCTTGACATGACAATACTGTACACATTCCTGACTGTATACTGTACACATCCCTGACCTTAACATGACAATACTGTACACATCCCTGACCTTGACATGACAATACTGTACACATTCCTGACCTCAACATGACAATACTGTACACACTGTACACATTCCTGACCCCCACATGACAATACTGTACACATTTTCTACCTTGACATGACAATACTGTACACATCCCTGACCTCAACATGACAATACTGTGCCCGAGTTTCCCTGTACATAAAGGCAAGGCTACAGCACACCGTGTTACCAGAGCCTTACATGAAGAGCTCACTCCGTAGAGAAACTTGGTGCTTCAGTCAACATAATTTCAGAATCCTTTGGATCAGCAATGGTTGCATATAGACAAAGAACATTTCTCCATAGTAATTATTATTTTATTGTGAGATTTGGTAATCCGAATTTCACAGGAAATGATTAATTTCGGATTAAAAGGTTTAACAGTACAGTGTATGTAGCTCACTTCAACATAATCAACAAGCTCAAACAACATCAACATATAAAGTAACAGATATAAACATGGTCCAGAAAACAATCTAACAAATTGATGTGTGAAACATGAGGTAAATAATGTGGTATTTTGTGGCAGATGAAGCTGGCATCATCAACACAGAGTGATCACCACTGCACCTCCGTACAACAGATACATGAAGATGTCTGTGACACCACGGTGAATTTACCCGGCTTGACTTGAGTCCTGAGTGGTTGCATAGATAATGTCTAAGAAATATTCTTAATAGAACATGTGTCAAGGCAACAGGTGGAAAATTGACAAAATATTGCAGTGGATGAAAATTAGACAGAAATACATATATAGAATGGCTACATATATGGAAGTACTAATTGACACAATAGCAGAGAAAGGCTATGAAAGGCAACCTTCTGTACATAATAAAGTCATTTCCTGTTTCTGTAAGTTTGAGGGTGGAAGTTATGTTGAACAGTTACAACATTAGTTCTTCGCATGACTATGTGACCGACATTTGCAGAACATCCCATCTTGCTCGTCCTCTACATCTCCAAGGCCTGCAGTTTGGTAAAACCTGTAGTGTTCACTGCTAGACTGGTACCTGATTGGCAACATCCAACTTGCAGTATTGACCTAGACATACAGAGGATGCTCACACCCCGCGGTTAACATAACATCACTGCCACAAGCTAATTTGCATATCACGTGACCGGACTTTTCTCTTGTTTGTAATAAAACGCGCATATTCATAATAAGAAGAGACTGGACTCCCAAAAGCTTCTCGGCGCTCTCTTCATAATGTTTTACATTGTTACATATATATTCGTCCAGTTAGCGACAGTTAGGTCTATGACAGTACATATTTAGATATCAAACTGGCTGCATCGTTTGCTCTCCATCAGCTTCGATGACAGCACGTGGAGCCATACAACCTATGTAAACAAAGGATCGCTATGCAAATCGAAATAGTGTTACCTGTTTTTGGATATTTTCTCAGTGAAACTAAACCATTCTATAAAAGATGTTTAGTTAGATGTGCAGACTCGTCAAAAATAAAAGAGTAAAAGAAATCTATACATTATATTGAATGGACATTGCAAGATGTGACGAATCGTCACATTTTTCAGGCCTGTGGCAGAGGTACTATGCTGGCTTGCCACATGGAACTCTGGGTAGGAGAGTTAGGATGCTTTCTGTGACTCAATGAAATGATTGATGGCAGTCTACCCATGTTCCACCTTCCAGAGGGAGTAGTGTCCACTGCAAACTCTGTCCTGAAACTCTGTTAGGAGACACTTAGTTTGATTTCAGAGATGACATCATTTCTTTCCTCACAAAGATACCTATGCTCAGTTAATGAAGGCCACTTCAGTGTGATACTAGGCAAGTCAACTTTCTAAAGGTTTGAAGAAAAAACAATCCATTTCTTTTTTCTAAAAGCACTGGTTCAAAAGAAGCTTGATTATGATTAACAATTACCCGTCACGTTACATTTGTGTATGGTGACTGTTCATATGTGTCCTGGATATGCTAAAGAAAGGGGCGATGGGGTAGCCTAGTGGTCAAAGCGTTTCGCTCGTCACGCTGAAGGCCCGGGTACGATTCCCCATATGGGTACAATGTGTGAAGCCCATTTCTGGTGTCCCCCGCCGTGATATTGCTGGAATATTGCTAAAAGCGGCGTAAAACCATGCTCACTCACTCACTCACTAAAGAAGAAAACAGAAACAACATAAAATAAAGACTAAAATGTTAATCTATACCTTAAAAATTATTATTATAAAAATAAATGATTTAAATCACAACAATCAATCCATTTCAATATCATCAGCTTGGCGATGAGCGATGGCCTAGTTGATTGGCAGCACCTTGCTGATGTATGAGCGTGCGATGCTGGCCAGGTCCGTCCCGGTGTAGTGGCGGAGGCCCACCGTGATGAGTCCAGCTGCACCGGTGACCAGCAGGATCTGTAGACACTTCACTCCCAGTATGAAGCCCGGCAACCTGGTAGAACAAACATTGTGTTTGATATAGTGTCAGTATAAAGTCAATGATTTTTACAGGATGCAATTTTCATTCTATGGGGACTCACATACAATCTGTGTGACTAACTGCTTCCTGAAAATTCAGTACATGTAAACTGCTCCATCTCACTTACCTCCCTTCTACACTCTGACAGTAACCTTTGAAGTACTTCTGTCTCGAGGATACACGTATACTGCTCCATCTCACTTACCTCCCTTCTACACTCTGACAGTAACCTTTGAAGTACTTCTGTCTCGAGTACATGTATACCGCTCTATCTCACTTACCTCCCTTCTACACTCTGACAGTAACCTTTGAAGTACTTCTGTCTCGAGTACACGTATACTGCTCCATCTCACTTACCTCCCTTCTACACTCTGACAGTAACCTTTGAAGTACTTCTGTCTGGAGTACACGTATACCAATCCATCTCACTTACCTCCCTTCTACACTCTGACAGTAACCTTTGAAGTACTTCTGTCTGGAGTACACGTATACTGCTCCATCTCACTTACCTCCCTTCTACACTCTGACAGTAACCTTTGAAGTACTTCTGTCTGGAGTACACGTATACTGCTCTATCTCACTTACCTCCCTTCTACACTCTGACAGTAACCTTTGAAGTACTTCTGTCTCCTGAGTACAGCGTATACTGCTCCATCTCACTCACCTCCTTCTACACTCTGACAGTAACCTTTGAAGTACTTCTGTCTTGAGTACACGTATACCGCTCTATCTCACTTACCTCCCTTCTACACTCTGACAGTAACCTTTGAAGTACTTCTGTCTCGAGTACACGTATACTGCTCCATCTCACTTACCTCCCTTCTACACTCTGACAGTAACCTTTGAAGTACTTCTGTCTTGAGTACACGTATACTGCTCCATCTCACTTACCTCCCTTCTACACTCTGACAGTAACCTTTGAAGTACTTCTGTCTTGAGTACACGTATACCGCAGCTCTATCTCACTTACCTCATTCTACACTCTGACAGTAACCTTTGAAGTACTTCTGTCTCGAGTACACGTATACCACTCTATCTCACTTACCTCCCTTCTACACTCTGACAGTAACCTTTGAAGTACTTCTGTCTTGAGTACACGTATACCGCTCTATCTCACTTACCTCCCTTCTACACTCTGACGGTAACCTTTGAAGTACTTCTGTCTTGAGTACACGCGATATGCAGCTCTATCTCACTTACCTCCCTTCTACACTCTGACAGTAACCTTTGAAGTACTTCTGTCTTGAGTACACGATACTGCTCCATCTCACTTACCTCCCTTCTACACTCTGACAGTAACCTTTGAAGTACTTCTGTCTTGAGTACAGGTATACTGCTCCATCTCACTCACCTCCCTTCTACACTCTGACAGTAACCTTTGAAGTACTTCTGTCTCCGAGTACAGGATACTGCTCTATCTCACTCACCTCCCTTCTACACTCTGACAGTAACCTTTGAAGTACTTCTGTCTTGAGTACAGGTATACCGCCTCCATCTCACTTACCTCCCTTCTACACTCTGACAGTAACCTTTGAAGTACTTCTGTCTCGAGTACACGATACTGCTCCATCTCACTCACCTCCCTTCTACACTCTGACAGTAACCTTTGAAGTACTTCTGTCTTGAGTACAATAATGATACTGCTCCATCTCACTCACCTCCTTCTACACTCCAACAGTAACCTTTGAAGTACTTCTGTCTTGAGTACAGGTATACCTGCTCTATCTCACTTACCTCCCTTCTACACTCTGACAGTAACCTTTGGAAGTACTTCTGTCTCGAAAGTACACGATACTGCTCCATCTCACTCACCTCCCTTCTACACTCTGACAGTAACCTTTGGTACTTCTGTCTGAGTACAGGTATACCGCTCTATCTCACTCACCTCCCTTCTACACTCTGACAGTAACCTTTGGTACTTCTGTCTGAGTACACGTGATACTGCTCTATCTCACTCACTACCTCCCTTCTACACTCTGACAGTAACCTTTGAAGTACCTCTCTCTCGAGTACAGGTATACCGCTCTATCTCACTTACCTCCCTTCTACACTCTGACAGTAACCTTTGAAGTACTTCTGTCTGGAGTACAGGTATACTGCTCTCATCTCACTCACCTCCCTTCTACACTCTGACAGTAACCTTTGGTACTTCTGTCTGGAGTACTACTGAATACTATCCCATCCTTACCTCCCCTTCTACACTCTGACAGTAACAGCTTGAAGTACTCCTGTCTCGAGTACAGATTATACTGGTCCATCCTCTTAGTCCACCTCCCTTCTACACTCTGACAGTAACTAGCGAAGTGCTTCTGTCTTGAGTACACGTGATGCTGCCATCTCACTCACTCCCCTTCTACACTCTGACAGTAACCTTTGTGAGGTACTTCTGTCTTCAGTAATGTGATATTGCTCCATCTCACCACCTCCCTTCTACACTTTGATACTGCTCCATCTCCTCCCGAGCCTCTCACCTCCCTTCTACACTCTGACAGTAACCTTTGAAGTACTTCTGTCTTGAGTGCAGGGTATACCCGGGCTCCATCCCTACTCACCTCCCTTCTACACCTGACAGTAACCTTTGAAGTACTTCTGTCTGAAGTACAGGTTATCCAGCTCCATCTCACTCCACCTCCCTTCTACACCTGACAGTGGCCCAAGTGCCTTCTGTCTTGGTACAGGTATACTGCTCCATCCTCACCTCACCCCTCCCTTCTACACTCTGACAGTAACCTTTTTGCACGTATACTGCTCTATCTCTCACTCACCTCCCTTCTCTACACTCTGACAGTAACCTTTGAAGTACTTCTGTCTCGAGTACAGGTATACCGCTTCATCTCACTTACCTCCCCTTCTACACTCTGACAGTAACCTTTGAAGTACTTCTGTCTGAGTACACGATACTGCTCCATCTCACTTACCTCCCTTCTACACTCTGACAGTAACCTTTGAAGTACTTCTGTCTCGAGTACACGTATACTGCTCCATCTCACTTACCTCCCTTCTACACTCTGACAGTAACCTTTGAAGTACTTCTGTCTCGAGTACACGTATACTGCTCCATCTCACTCACCTCCCTTCTACACTCTGACAGTAACCTTTGAAGTACTTCTGTCTTGAGTACACGTGATACTGCTCCATCTCACTCACCTCCCTTCTACACTCTGACAGTAACCTTTGAAGTACTTCTGTCTCGAGTACACGTGATACTGCTCCATCTCACTTTACCTCCCTTCTACACTCTGACAGTAACCTTTGAAGTACTTCTGTCTGGAGTACACGTGATACTGCTCCATCTCACTCACCTCCCTTCTACACTCTGACAGTAACCTTTGAAGTACCTCTCTCTCGAGTACAGGTATACCGCTCTATCTCACTTACCTCCCTTCTACACTCTGACAGTAACCTTTGAAGTACTTCTGTCTTGAGTACACGTATACTGCTCCATCTCACTCACCTCCCTTCTACACTCTGACAGTAACCTTTGAAGTACTTCTGTCTTGAGTACAGGTATACTGCTCCATCTCACTCACCTCCCTTCTACACTCTGACAGTAACCTTTGAAGTACTTCTGTCTTGAGTACACGTATACTGCTCCATCTCACTCACCTCCCTTCTACACTCTGACAGTAACCTTTGAAGTACTTCTGTCTTGAGTACACGTATACTGCTCCATCTCACTCACCTCCCTTCTACACTCTGACAGTAACCTTTGAAGTACCTCTCTCTCGAGTACAGGTATACCGCTCTATCTCACTTACCTCCCTTCTACACTCTGACAGTAACCTTTGAAGTACTTCTGTCTTGAGTACACGTATACTGCTCCATCTCACTCACCTCCCTTCTACACTCTGACAGTAACCTTTGAAGTACTTCTGTCTGGAGTACACGATACTGCTCCATCTCACTTACCTCCCTTCTACACTCTGACAGTAACCTTTGAAGTACTTCTGTCTGGAGTACACGTATACCGCTCCATCTCACTCACCTCCCTTCTACACTCTGACAGTAACCTTTGAAGTACTTCTGTCTGGAGTACACGTGATACTGCTCCATCTCTCTCACCTCCCTTCTACACTCTGACAGTAACCTTTGAAGTACTTCTGTCTGAGTACAGGTATACCGCTCCATCTCACTTACCTCCCTTCTACACTCTGACAGTAACCTTTGAAGTACTTCTGTCTTGAGTACACGTGATACTGCTCCATCTCACTCACCTCCCTTCTACACTCTGACAGTAACCTTTGAAGTACTTCTGTCTTGAGTACACGTATACTGCTCCATCTCACTCACCTCCCTTCTACACTCTGACAGTAACCTTTGAAGTACTTCTGTCTGGAGTACACGTATACTGCTCCATCTCACTCACCTCCCTTCTACACTCTGACAGTAACCTTTGAAGTACTTCTCTCTCGAGTACAGGTATACCGCTCTATCTCACTTACCTCCCTTCTACACTCTGACAGTAACCTTTGAAGTACTTCTGTCTCGAGTACATGTATACCGCTCTATCTCACTTACCTCCCTTCTACACTCTGACAGTAACCTTTGAAGTACTTCTGTCTTGAGTACACGTATACTGCTCCATCTCACTCACCTCCCTTCTACACTCTGACAGTAACCTTTGAAGTACTTCTGTCTTGAGTACACGTATACTGCTCCATCTCACTCACCTCCCTTCTACACTCTGACAGTAACCTTTGAAGTACTTCTGTCTTGAGTACACGTATACTGCTCCATCTCACTCACCTCCCTTCTACACTCTGACAGTAACCTTTGAAGTACTTCTCTCTCGAGTACACGTATATGAGTCCTACACCTGCAGATACACCTGGTAAAGAAAAATGTTTTTTATTACTGGAATACACAAGTGAGTTTGTATTAAAACACACATTAATGGCATATATCTAAGTAAGCATTATCAACCCATTTTACCAAATCTTAAAGTTCATGCTTGATGACTGAAGTATCCAGACAATAGCTCGGAAGTTACAAGATGCAGAAATATGGCCAAGCTTGCTCTAAAAGACTATCTTTTAAAACACACTTAATTACGCAGGGTATTAAATCTAAATCCTTTCATGATGAATACCCTAGTCTTAAGCTGAACACTACACAACTCTCTAAAACTTACAGGAAAAGAGATCGACTTTCTTGTGAGTCTAAGTGAGTTGGATAATTCTGCCTTTCATTGAGTTTAAGTCCCATCACGGTCTGACAGCTTGGAACCATCAACCCATGAATATGGATATTGTGATAACACAACCAATAAAATAATCTAGGCATATCGGGGAGTTGAATGCATGGCGGATGGGACTGCAGGGAACTGTCGCTGAGACAAATGGGACGCCGTTCACCTAGATCTGTAATTAGGTGACTGTGTAGATACTGACCTGGATGAAAGAAGATGGAGGAGACCCACAGACATGTCATGAAGATAGGGTGGAACTCCAGTGTGTTCATTCTGGGGAGATAAATCAGTGTTACACACCATGTGGGCAATATTACACTCAGCATTACACACAAGCCTGGCACACACTATCTGGACAGTATTACAATCAGTATTATACTCTACCTGGGCAGTATTATATTCAGTATTGTACACTAAACGGGCAATATTACAATCAGTATTATACTCTACCTGGGCAGTATTATATTCCGTATTGTACACTAAATGGACAATATTACAATCAGTATTATCCTACCTCATACATAAATATTGTTTTCTGATTGGCTGAGCCAATCAATGTACCCCGCCTACAATCCAGTAACATTTTCTGTGTTTCCTGCTGGGAATGCAGAACTGTAGGAATTCATTTGATACAGCATGATTGTAGTGTTTCAGGCTGTTGCCTAACTCTGGCACCTTACGATGACCCAATACTTGTGCTTCAAACAGTTTCAAATTAACACTGAGGTGTTCGGTAAGATAAATACGTTGTTCACTGGTCTCTCAAGGCCCATGGGTTGATGTACCCTCTATGTTTGTTTATGTTCCCTGAGCCCGAAAGGGTGATGGGAACATCGAGGATACATCAAGGATACATCAAGGATACATCAGCTCATGTCCCCCTGGTGACCAGTGAACAACTTATATCATACATTACCAGGACAATATTACAATCAATATTATACACTATCTAGGCCTAGATTTTCGAAGCTCTCTATCGCTAAGATAGTCGTAAGTTAATGTTAATGTATGGCACTTACGACTATCTTAGCTCTAAGAGAGCTTCGAAAATCTAGGCCCAGGTCAGTATTACATTTAGTGTTATACACTATCTGGTCAGTATTACTATTAGAGTTATACACATCTGGTCAGTATTACTATTAGTGTTATACACTATCTGGTCAGTATTACAATTAGTGTTATACACTATCTGGTCAGTATTACTATTAGTGTTATACACTATCTGGTCAGTATTACTATTAGAGTTATACACATCTGGTCAGTATTACTATTAGTGTTATACACTATCTGGTCAGTATTACAATTAGTGTTATACACTACCTGGTCAGTATTACTATTACCGGTAGTATTATACAATAAATGGACATTCTAATTCAACTTAGTATGTAACACAAGTTTTGATTGGTCAATGCTATAAATTTCCGACCGTATAATCAGCATATACGGTCGCAATTTGAAAACCGAGTCACCAAACCTTTGAATGTATCCCTACACTATTAGGGTAACGCTGTTTTGCAGGACATTGTCATTTGCAGAAGCCATTGGTCAATTAACTCCCCTATCCAGCTAAAATGGGTGGAATTTGTGTTAATAAAGACAAAACAGTATCATAAATTTAATTTTTAGTTGAAAAAACTTACTCGCAACTGGCTTTTGACGCAAAACTGTTAGATCATGAAACACGATTTATGACGTCATTATGGAGCGTGACGTCACCTGCTGTGACGTCATTTGACAACAGAACTGATAAAAGCCTGTAGTTGAGGAATCAGCGGGCGGCCATTTCTGTAACTAGAGGGCGGTCATCATAATTCCGTCCATTTTATCTATAATACTATGATCTATTCATCATTGTCAGATTTAGTCTGTGTGCGCCTAATAAACGTGTGTAGTTTGAAAAGGGAACTACTTTTTCTGGCGATGGTGTAGTTCAAGGAGTGATATGATTAACCTTTGACCTGGTTTAAATAATGAATTTCTTTCACGAAAAAACAGCATAAAACGAGTTGAGTTAGAATGGGAATATCTGTACGCGTTGCCGATATAACTAAATTTGCGGCTATATAACCACCGGTATACGTCCCCAATTCATCAAACACAGTACAGTTATCCCCTAAATATCACAGTCAGTATTACCACTATCTGGACAATAGTACAATCAGTATTATACTCTACCTGGGCAGTATTATATTCAGTATTATATACTAAAAGGGCAATATTACAATCAGTATTATGCACTAACTCAGCAGTATTACACAGAAGTTGGACAGTATTACAATTAGTATTATACACCAATACCAATTATTCTGCTTGTATCACCACTTCAGGTGACTTCTGCTTTGTAATCCATCAAGTGAGTGAGTGAGTTTTAGTTTTACTCCACACTCAGCAATATTCCAGCTATATGGCGGGGGTCTGTAAATAATCAAGTCTGGACAAGACAATCCAGTGATCAACAGCATGACCATTGATCTACATAATTGGGATACGATGACATGTGTCAACCAAGTCAGAGAGCCTGACCACCCGATCCCGTTAGTCGCCTCTTACATCAAGCATGGGTTGCTGAAGATCAATTCTAACCCAGATCTGCATCCATTCTCTGCATTTGTGAGTCGAGTAAAACCCTGTTTTTATTGGATAAAGGTTATATATATTCGGTGTTTTAAATGAATATGCAGCTTATCTGGTACCAACAGGGCACACCAGGAAGGAACTACACCAGGCATTTGTTCACACATCCACAATTACACATCTATCTTCATCCTGTTTAGAGAGCTCTCCTTGACCCTGTCAACGTCATAGCTTTGATGGGGGCGGTGGGGTCGCTTAGTGGTTAAAGCACTGGCTTGTCACACAGAAGACCTGGGCCCCGTTCCTCAAAGCGATCGTAGCGCTTTCTCGACACGGACAAAGGTTCTAAAGGTGTCATTAAAAGAATGGACACATAATGCCCCTTACACTCCAGAGAGACAGCTCCGTTCTCAGAATCTGAACTTACTCTCCGTCGCTCATTTCAAACTGCAAACTCTGGGTATGAATCATTGATCATATGGACAGGTGAATGAAATGATGCATGTAACTGCTCTGAAAGAAACAACCAACCACTTAGCAAAGACACAGATGTGTTGTGGGTACAATGAATAATATTGTGCGTCCTCTACATGCAGTGAATTGTTTTTCTGTGACCATTCTCTACATTTGTGCTTACTGGACACTAGTGTTGGGAATTGATTAAATTCTCATAATTGATGATTGGTCCATTACAACCGATCAGTCATCGAAAATAATTGGTTAACGTCATTTATCACATTGTCCTGGCTGTTTGTTAATGCACAAAAAATAATGAACAAAAACATGCAGTTCTTTTGGTTTTTTTTTGCAAATTTCACGTCTTTAAAGGATGACTAGTATGTTAGGAACATACATTTCCTGGAGTCTTCAAGATAAATTTAATCACGACTTGGGAACGAGCTTGTAGTGCTTATGAAACGTAACATTCAAAACCAACCTTGTGATAAATATTGTTAATGCAAAACAAGTGTTCCAAAATTGTTTGTGTTCGATTATGACAAAACATGATCGATTGCTTGGTCGTTTAGTCATTGCGACCAATCTTCGATTATTTCAATTAATTGGACCACCACTACTGGACACACATTCACGCATAACATAAAACCCCTTGGTATGCATGTGTTTTTTAACTGTATATATGAGGCAGTGTGCTTAAAGATTAATCGAATCTGGACCAGACAATCCAGTAATCAACAGCATGAGCATAGACCCATGCAACTGGGATACATTTAACAATCCAGTGACTAATAGCATGAGCATCGATCCACACAATGTCTGGTCCAGACTCCAGACTCGTTAACAGCCAGCCCCCATATAGCTGGAATATTGCTGAGTGTGGCATTAAACATCAAACCAACCAACCATTTAGTGTGACTCTGAAATTTTAAAAACAGGATATATTTTCTTAATGATCAAACAGATTGATTGTGACAAATATTTGAGGCAATAATGAGGTATACTCACTGAGCCCGAAATGCTCTTTCAAAGGCTGGGTCCCCTGATACTGCTGGGTAGGCAACCTTGTGCTTCTTCCTCGCTGCACCTACTCCAATTGCAAGTCTTGCTGCAGATGGAATTAAAACCTGTTAAGAACTTGTTATGATAGATTCTCACAACCAGATCATCTTGTTGACACTGATGTGTTCCTGAATATATTGTCACGTACTGATGTTGAATAAAAACTGTTTGCACCTTATCAGATATGTTCTAGGTATGGCTTCCCACAAAACTCTTTTAAAGTGTACAAAACATTCACACATTAAGTTGATTAACAGGAGAAACCAACTGGAACAATTCATAAATCTTATTCGCCCTCGTGTCTGCCCGAGTGATAATTGAAACGCGCCCGCGATACGCTATCGCATCCATCGATGCCCCGAGCAAAAGCCAAACAGCACAAAACGAGTCATACACTGCGATTTAGTAATTACACGGTGTGACAACAGCATGAACTTACTCAACTGGAACCCCGAGATGAGGGTCACCACTCCAGGCCACAACAAATTCTCAACACGAAGGAAAGACCCGTTAACTTCGCTCATCTTGACTGCTGCGTTCAACTCAACCCTTAGCAAACGTTCACTGACGTTTGGGGGCAAAGTTCACATGTGCACATCGTCAACTCCCGATTGAAAAGAAACCAATGATCTGCCTGCATTCATTGAGATAAATGTTGACAATTAATGTATTGTATTCATATTAATATATTGTATTGATATTGATATTGATATATTGTATTCATGTTAATATTTATACATTGCATTTATATTAATATTTTTATTCATAGAGTGTATTTATATTAATATTTATATTCATACATTGTATTTATAGATATATAAAGGATATTAGTCTGTTTTATCAGAGACAATAATAATTATAGTATATGGTCCCTTGTTTCTTTGTCAAATATGTAGCTGGTCTTCCATAGTTGCAAAAGGTAACATTATATAAAAAACAACCCTCCCAGCAGGCCGGCGACGTATTTGCTACGTCGCTGTCAGGTCACATTGAGGTCGCCATGTCGCAGTCGCAGTGCGACGTTGTATGGACGTGGCAGACAAGTCGCTTTCTGGTTCGGTTTTCCATTCACATGGCCACGTCGCTGCAACGTAGTGCAATAATATGTTATCTAATTCATCTTAGATATTAGTCTTTCTTGCCTTACAGATTTGGGAAATTGTCATTGTTCATATCTATACATGGAGATGCAAATCCTAAAGATAATCAACACATTTACAGTCCAGATAGTTATATGTTATTTCTGAAATTTGATATTTATGAGGGAAAGTTAATACAAGTATATAAATCATGAATGGGTAGATGGTTTTGTGTTTGTAATTGTGCTATTTGTTATGTAAAACATAAAAACAAACAACAATACTGTATTCACGTTTATATTTTGCTGATGGGACTCCTGATGTCATTTCAAATCTTTTCAGTTCAAAATATGTTACATGTGACATATTTATAAAACAAATTATCTAAACGATGAACGATATATCCTGCCATACTGAAATTTGTGCTGAATCCCTGGGAAGGCTGTCAAGTGTCATGGGTTGAGGACTGGTCATTCATTCTTGGAAAAGGGTTTGCCTGGAACTTTATCAAGGCATTGACATTGTAGATGTTTATCAGAACTAAACATCCTGTAGTTGGAAAACGGTAATTCCTCGAAAATATTTCATTAATTTCTTTAAAAAAGAAATATTGACAAGAAATAACAATAAAAACGTGAATACAATATCTACAATACTTTAACTGGAAAATATATTTGCACTTTCAAGGGGAAGACATTTTATGTTGGAAAGATTCTTGGCTATGCAAGGATTCATATTGCAGTATTACTATATTTACTACCATAAGGGTGTTTACACCAGTTTATCCAAGTGATAAGGCCACATCAAGAAGGAAAGGTAAATCCAATTCCATATCGTCTGAACTACTTCAATACAGTGGTCACTTGCATTCTGCTAGTCATTTATCTACCCCCACCCAGACTCAGCCATTTCACCTGACATTCATGGCTGGCCTTATTAGGAAATGTTATGGCTGTGGACAACCATTCAATAAAAGACATAAGTCGCCACCTCACGATTTGCTTCTGAAGAGATTTGATCATCGTGTTTACACCAGCCCGAGGAGTAAAGAAAACAAAACAACGGTTAACTTGCAAAACACATATTTCCATCTAAATGTTCACTGTGCAAGGCGATTGGATCCAGGGTTTGAGATGAAGAATATTCTCATACATAATGAATTAAAGGGAACAACTGACTCTTGTTCACAAAGAAATTTAAAAAACTTAACGTTTTTTACAATGTAATGTTCATTGTATTTGAGGACACTGAATAACAAGTCATGTCTACCAATACATTACTGTGAGACTGATATGGAAAAGATGGGCAGGCCTGAAGTGCATAAAAGTATGATGTCAAAGATGTTCATATATTTATCTTCGAGATGCAGTGCATGATCAACTAGTAATGTTTGACTTGGTTTTTACAGGTACATCGAATGTCTGTTATGTGCCAACTATTAAAATGTCTTTACTATTCTTATAACTGTCATAGAAATGTTTGCTATGTCAGTTTTCTCCAAACTCCTTAATAATTTGTCACAAATTCAAACTCTCTGCAATTATGCTTTCATTTGTAGACAATGAACGTACTCAAGAGTGTGAAAATGTTTACATGGCAATCCTCAGTAGCACTGGCTTAGCTTTCTGCCATTCTGAGGGCAGATCGTTATCAGTGATGTGTGGTGCCTGTTATCTGTCACATTCAATGGACTGCCCATACATAACCTTACAGAAAGTTAAGATTTTCGAAGGCACAGAGAACTGATGAAACTCACTAACAATCAGCTTGCAAATATTCAACTGTATTTATTTTTGCTTTTTGTTTGTAAGTTCAAGGATGTAGAAAGATAACTATTTTTATAAAAAAAAACAACAATTATGACATTGCAACAGTTACGTTTGCCATCACTGACAAAAAAAATCCTGTTCCTGAATAATGTAGTGCTATGTATCTTATGTTATCAATTTCTTTGTTATGTAATATGTCTTAGCATAGACCGTATTTCTGTACCTTTCCCTTACAACGGCTTCCTCTACACAAATGTGCATTTGCATGTGTCAATGTTATGTATGTCCTTCATTGGACAATAAATAATGCCATTATTAGTATTTGGTTTATAGGTTGTAAATCATTTCCATCCGTACATTCATCTGTTATAGCGCCTAATTCAGGACAGCCATCGTTCAAATATTCCTAAAGATAAAAAACTATGAAGCCAAACCATGTGAAACTTAATTGCAATTATTTAATCTGCATACTTAATCATTATCACTACCGCACTGTACATTGTCTTGTCAGCAACCCTGTACCACTTTGTCACTTTCATTAATATGACATTTAGAACCTTAATTGGTCATCCCCCTTGGCCGCGTCTGCCATCACATCCACTGTTACAAAGAAGTGCTATTGTTTCTCTATCTGTCCACTGTTGTATGCTCGCCTATCCATTGTTGTCAAAAACTGTATATATATGCTCACATCCATATTGTCAAGGAGTCCGGTATTCCGACTGTCTGTTGGGACGACCACGAGCAGGATAATGCTGCTCGTAGGAAGCGCCCTGGTATTGAGCCGGAACTCCACTCACCTCCTTCTTGTATACTATTACTAATGTTTGTCCTGGCTTGTGCAACCAACTAAAGAAGTTTGAACTCAACCTATCCTTCGTCTTTGTCAACTTATTGTACGTATAATTCCAAGCTAGTTCCCCTGTCGATCATATCTACGCGTTGACACATCCATCCTTCCGATCTATTCATACACATTTTTTTCTTGATGTCAACAAAGCCCCAGAACAGGACCCGCAGTTAGTACAGTTACAGAATGACATTTCTGGAGTTGACAGGGCTAATTGATAAGTGTATACAAAATGGCTCCTGCCTTCTGATAAAACTGATAACCAGCTACAGATGTTGGAACGAATGCGCTGGTTTAGTTTCCATTATGATCAAAACAAAACAAACTCGGTCTTCAAAATATTTACATTTAAACTCCATTCCAAGACTCCACTCCAAGACTCCACTCCATGTTTTACAGTATGCCGCAACGTAACATTATTAAAAGGTTATCAAAAAAGAAAATCAAAACTTCTACACACCAACCTTTTAGAAACGTTATTGAAACACTGGTGGAGGTTTTCCTAAAGTTTGATTGAAGCCTTATCACAATGTTCTACAATCATTAATGAAACATTTTCCCTGATAAGGATGTTTCTGTTCACTGCAGGAATGTATATTAATTTGAAAAATAATTGTTATGCAAATACGCCTGAACATAAATATTTATGAGAAATTATAAGTTCTAGAAAACTTTTGTGAAAATTTGGTCAAGTGGAATAGTATGTCATGTGTTTCATTACAATGACTGATTTTGTACAATACTATTTACGATAATATAAGTTCAGCCTTCCCTGTGTGGACAACTTGCTACCTCTCGTTTTGGTGTCAGCAGTCTCAGGAATGTTCCCAGATACTTTATCAGGTCAGAGCAGGAATTCCTGCATTCAAAATCGGACTCTGTACATAGCAGGCAGGAAGTTCCACCACACTGCAGGATATAGAAGACTGTTCATTTTACTCTTGTGACAAGACTACAGTTTTCTAAGAGGAGGTATGTGTATTCACATTATTGTTCTAAAAACGTGAAATTGCACAGTTAACCTGATAAATCATCACTTAAGAATTTCAGTCAAATTCTGTATCGTGCCTTGTGAACGTTCATTCTTAGTTTGCAACAGTACGAATTCCTATGACTATTTACTTAACTATAATTTTACCATTCAAATATAGGAATTTTCCCTGTTTCCTCTACCCTGTATCCAATCTGTCGACACAGATCTGGTCACAGAGGCACTCTTGCTTATCAGCGATGTACAGGAACTCAGGGGATAATATTACATTCAAGTCCGTGTCTCCAGTTACGGATGTATTTTATAGCGTAAACAATATGTCCCTATCACAGCACCCAGACCATGATTCCTCACAACAAATGTCAGCCCCCTCACAAGTAAATATCGTATACAACTTTTAAACAAGAAATGAAGATGTGTCATAAAGCCATTAAAAGGCAACTAACCATTTCTAATTTTTGGGTCAACTGTTAGAAATACACAATTTTCAGTCTTGTAAATAGTATATATTGTTAGTAAAAAAATTCTCTGTAAATGACGCCCGCATCTTTGGAAAGTATCATACAATTTAACCAGATGAAATCAGTTGCACAATTTGACAAATTGATTTTATTTGGTTGGTAATAAATTCCTGTTGTATTTCATTAATGGTTGATTGATCTGTATTTAATTTTTATGTTACGAAAATACTGGTGGCATGTACTCCTGGCATAAAATTTGTTAATGTATGTTGCCAAGCGACAGCATATATATCTTAATATTATTTTGCAGCTTCAAGCACAGAAACGGGTTGGCGGCAAAGACATGCATCAGACCAACTGTTGAGTTTTAACCCTTGGCCATGGGTCAGTACAATGTAAAAGGAATTGGAAACAAGAGAAGCTTTTCTACAACAAGACTGTAGAAACTGATCAGAGGTGAACAGTTTTCCTTCTAAAGTAATACACAACACTACTGTTATTAATATGATAGCACTTGGGACCACATAAACATGTCCAAGTGAAACAACTGGTTTAGTCAAAGGTCAGATTATTATTTTTGACCACAGGACATCACAATCATTTCTGCATTTGTTCTAAGCCCACTCAGATGTATCAAGTAAACCTGTTGCTGCTTCTTTATGGACCATGTTTTTGTTACTCGGTATGATTGAGATTCAGATGATGTTTTAATATGCTGCTTTGGTTATCTGATGCTAGTGTCTAACGTTTGGGTAGTAAAATAATCATAAAAATGTAAATACTCATTTTTATACAAACATTACAATTGCTTTAAAGCCATGTGTTGACATTCTGTTTCAGAGATGGTGCTTTGGCCAACTGTCCAACATCTACTGAAACAGATATAGCAAGCTTCATAGGTTAATATTTGAAACAAACATGCTCCAAGAAAGCTCTTTTGAGGGAGCATGAGAGAGCGGAATGAGCAGCGAGGCAAGCCACAACAGCTGATAAATCGGATTAAACTATATGGGGGGAGTGTGTGTGTGTGTGTGTGTGTGTTTGTGTGGTTAATTTAGTCTGTTTAATATTACTAAAACCCTTTCCGTGTATTTTGTATGTTATTTTTGTGTATTATGCATTGAAACAGTTGAAAGATTACGCGAGGTTTCACTCTGTGTGTCGTCAACCAATACTTTTGTAACTTCCTTACCTGGACAATATGTTTACAGTAACTTCCTTACCTGGACAATATGTTTACAGTAACTTCCTTACCTTGACAATATGTTTACAGTAACTTCCTTACCTGGACAATATGTTTACAGTAACTTCCTTACCTGGACAATATGTTTACAGTAACTTCCTTACCTGGACAATATGTTTACAGTAACGATGATGACCAGTGCATATATTGGAGAAAACACTGGCGACCTAGATAAGTAAACACTCGACAGTTTGCGTATAAGCAGGGAAGATGGAATGTATAGCGAACGCTGCCGTGAAATGGAACGTTCACTCAATACATTCTGATACTCGCATTTTTGTTGTTGGTGTCAGTCGCTTACACGTTAAGTACAACTCAATGTCCTTCAAACTCAAAAACTTACTTTCGAGGTTTTAACAAAACCGTTAACTTGCAATATTTGCGGAATAAAAAATATGGGCCTAATGACGCCACGAGACATATGGTGACGTAATCCATTGTTGATGACGTAAATGTATGCCGTTATCACACAGACCTCGTATCCTGTCATGTGAATAACAGGAGACGTTCTTCGATTGGTTGGCTCAGGGATAACGGCCTCAGTCAGATATGGGCGTCTCGGGATGATGCGGGGCAAGATATGGAAAGGGGAGGGTCATAATATTTTTATCACTTAATACTAATCTTGTAAGAATCTATCATTTTTAAAAACCTTTTATACTCTACAAAAATATTTTACTCAAACACTAAAAAAACCCCGCATGATCAAAGTTTATTCAACATTAATTCAACAACTGTAAATGCCATTTTTCTTCTTGCGTTTTCATGTTTCATATTTTCAACATAATTCCGTGTCTCAATAAATTCATCCGAAGGAATTTAATCCCGTTCCACTAATTCATCTACTTCCATCAATCTATTCACTCTCCTACCCAGAGTTCCATGCTAAGTCATCACTGCGCCAGAGTGTGCAATCGCCTGCATCCGATCACCTTCCATTTTCATCAAAGGTTGCCGCAACTAAATCTCATGGAGCACAAGACGTCATTGGTTGGCTCAGGGATAATTTTAGGCTAATGACAAATTTTCGCCATTTTAGGGGTACCAATATTTTCAGGAGCCCATTTCTGGTGTCCCACACCGTCATACCACTGGAATATTGCTAAAAGCGACGTGAAACCATATATACTCACTCACTTTCATCCGCCCGGAGTGCGGAAAGTCACGGGTTCGATCGCGGAACACTTCATATCAAAAGACGTTAAAATATGGTTGGGCATTAGGGTAATGACATCGGGTTTCTGTAAAGATAACTAGAAAACCAGCTTAAGTCTGGGCTGAAGCAGCCGCACATACACATAGCATGAGTCATATGAGCAAAATATTCTCAAGAGTTTAGTTTTACGTCGCACTCCTTCGTGGGGCAAGTAATATTCAAGCTATATGGTGGCGGTCTCACTCTGTAAATAATGTAATTTTTACCAGACAGTCCAGTGATCAACAGCATGAGCATCGATCTACGCAACTGGGATACGATGCCATGTGCCAACCAGGCCAGCGAACCTGACCACCCGATCCCGTTTGTCGCCTCTTACTACAAGCATGGGTAACTGAAGATCAATTCTAAGCTGGATCTTCACGGGTAACCTGACACAAATAGCATTACCCTTGTATGAGTGGCAAGTTCTGGTTACATGTTGGTGAATGGCATCGTATCCTGAGTGTGTAGATTGGTGCTGATGTAAATCACTGGATTGTCTGGTTCAGACTCCAATATTTCCAGAACGCCGTCATCTTGCTGGAATATTGGAGAGTTCTGGGTTGAACATCAAAGTGGGTCTCTATATTCTAACCCCAAGTGACATTTCAGATGTAATGCAACGACCTTTATTTTGTTGACTGAATATAATGGCGTAATCTAACTTCATAATTTTGTTGCTGACAGCATTCAGCAGCCTTGTGGTTAAAGCGTTCGCTCGTCACGTCAAAAGACCCGAGTTCCGGGTTTGATTCATTGTACATTGCATAGGCAGATCCCCCCGGGGGACATTAACATTAGCTTTAAAGTGGTCTTTAGACATTTTCAAGGGGTTGGTGTGTGTGTGTGTGTGTGTGTGTGAACCCCCTTGGATCCGCCAGTGCAGTGTGTGCAAGACGTAATGCAAATAAATGCGTCGGTTAGCATTACATTTACAACCTGAGGCGTGTTCAGCATGGCGAGTTCTCGTTTACCGCCAGTCCGCGTACGCGATTGCCGTCCCTGAACATTGTCATGGGGCAGTGTTATTCATAGAGTAACAATGTGGCAGCATTTTTCCTCGAGTAACAACGTGGCAGTGTTATTCATTGAATAACAATGTTCAAAGTGTGATACATTGTATGTGTGGATAGTTAGTGAGGGGCAGTTGTGTGCGGAAGTTAGACGACATTCTAGAAGATATTAACGAGTACTACAATCCTATGGGTTTTTCTGACCCAGGTAGTTGCAGAATCTTTTCCTATGGTACATAATGGGAGCTAACTCTTGCACAGTACATTATATTTAATTGAATAGGTAAGTGTGGTTTCATGTCGTTTTTAGCAATATTCCAGCAATATCACGGCGGGGTACATTGTGCCCATGTGGGGATCGAACCCGGGTCTTCGGCGTGACGATCGAGCGAGCGAACGCTTTAACCACTAGGCTACCCCACCGCCCACATTATATTTAAAGTTACAAATAGACCAGCAAATGTGTGGAGATCCTTCTTACTCTGGATACCCTACTTTGTAACCTTGACCGTTGTTGCAGACAGGTGAATAATACCACCGTCTTTATTGCAATAATCACCAATTTTTATATCATACTGCCCATTTTTATATCATACTCATGGTGACCGTAGGTATTGCCCGCCATTCTGCCGTAAGGGTGAGTGAGTGAGTGAGTGATTAGGTTGGGTTGTACGCCACTTTTTGCAATATTCCAGCAATATCACGTCGGGGGACACCAGAAATGGGCTTCACACATTGTACCCTTGTGGGGAATCGAACCCGGGTCTTCGGCGTGACGAGCCAACGCTTTAACCACAAGGCTACCCCACCGCCCCTCTGCCATAAGAACTACTCCAAGCTAGACATTAACGCTGACTGATGCTGGGTCTGGTGTATCCTCTCCGCCTGAGAGTGAGTGTAGTTTTACACCGCTTTTCGCAGGATGGGTCCGGCGTATTCTTGCAGTTCTATGGGTTCGATTCCCCACATGAGTACCATGTGTTAAGCCCATTTCTGGTATACCCGCCGTGATATTGCTGGAATATTGCTAAAAGCGGCATGAAACCACACTTACCTATTCACTTAAATATAATGTACTCACTCACTCACATGTGATACTATCAATCTATTCATATCATGTCCCGTGATCTCCATATACAACTGTACCATAGAATTGTAGAATATTAAAAATAACACACATAAAGGCAAGAATCTATGAATGTCAACCTCTGTATTTTGAGAAATACGACGTTCCCGAGTATATGCTACTCTTCCATCATTCACCTGATTAAGGAATATGAGTATACTCTGTAACATCGTGTTCTTCAAAATAACAAAATAAAGAACTTGACATCTATAAATTCTTGCCTTTATCACAAAAAGGTTTATTATTACAAACTAAACATGAGGTCCAACTTTATTCCTTAATGCAACATACATCTGATGCAACATATGCTTTAGGACCGTATCTTGGCAACATGCGTAATGCATTGATGCAATAAATTTCACATAAAGTCATAGCCATGCAACACACGTCATCGACTTATGTGCCCATGTTAGGTAGGTATCTGTAACCATGGCAACGAGTCATTGACTTATGAAGCTAATGTTAGATGTTTGTTTCCAAGGCAACACGTTATTGACTGATGTTAATTGTCTGTCATGAAGATAAGACGTCGATGGAATTGGCAGCCAGTGTTGGCTGTCTGTAACCCTGGCAACACGTCATGATTTTGATGTCTGTAACCCATGTATTTCCTGCGGAAATCGTCATACAGGCTCAGTACTTTCGATGGGAGTAGTTTCACGTTTAAATCCTCCAACAGCTGCTTAGCTTCATCTTGGGAAGGTTTCCTAGACCACTGCATTAAGTTCAAGTACACCACCAACTCCCGCTGCTTGGCCCGCCACATTGCCCTGTAGTTTCTAGCATACACCGCCTGAACAGCATCCCCGGTCACGCCACGGAATCTCAGAAATGCTGTTACTTCCTGCACAGAAGGAACAGGGCCGTATGGCCTGAGAGGGAACTCATCACAGAATTGTGCCCGAAGTCCAGTTGGTAATGACACGGGCAGCTCTGCACTTGGTACCCCTTGCTTTTCACTAACAATCTTTATCATCCTTGATGATTTAGCCTTTCCATTCCCCATCCATCGCCGCTTCTTAGGTGATGGTGGAGGTGGTTCTTCTTCGTCATCTCCATCGCTGCTCACATCAAGTTTAACATTCCAGGTAGAGCTCCCAGTGCAGTCACCATCAACACAATCTGTACGAAACTTCTGCCCTGCGGCTTCCTCTGCATCTTCTGAATTTCCCAGAGGACGAAACAGCTCTGGAGAATGTCTGTGGTCTGGTGACGATGTGCTACGAAACTCATCCTCAATGTGTGTTGAGTCCGATGTCATTGCTTTTCCAGCATCGTTTGAATCTTCGGGTCGACTAAGTGGCCAAGAAATAGGGTCCTCTGAATCTGTTAATTCTGTTGATATTGA